AATAAATCACGAAATTCAGTGACACGTCCACTATTGAATTACTATCTCGTAACAGACCTGATTGAACTCCACTGGTAACGGCTTCTCACTAGAACTCCAGATAATACCTCTCGAATCATGCAAGCGGGATCGTGAATGCACACTGTTGAGGAGTCCCACAATAGGACGAAAGGAAAGTCCAGTACTTTCAGGTTTTCCATGGTGGTTTAGCTTTAATTGACTCATGATCCCAACTACTATTTCTTTAATGTGTATATAGTCATACTATCAGAAATTAATATAAGTGGTAACAAAAAAAACTACAATCAGTTTAATGTGACCCATCTTCTTTATCTCTCTCTCGTTTGCCGACCAATCAGTTGAGAGAATAATTTTAGTCGCTCTGCCTCGGGGGCATTAGTTACAATTTTTCTCAATCTTTAACTAGATAGCATATCAAGTCAAGGCATCAATCTAGATCGAGACAAGTTTTGGCGGACGAATAATAGACGTAACAATATTATAACCGTCGTAATAACCTAGTGGTTATCTGGACTCATCGGTTTGGCGTATAACCTTGTAGGTTTTTGCAGCGAAACGTACTGATTTTGAGTCATGATGTGAACTCCAAAACTGGGATGGAGAATATTAAGTGGTTAAAGAACAAATACCTACCGACTCCATCAGTTTGTTCTAATGAAATCTAATGTGATCTATGTATGTGATTAAGCTTGGTGTTTTCCTAATTGTGGATAGGAAGATAATTAGTTTTTTTAACGAAAACTCATATAATTGACCGAACGTTTGTATGTGAACTGGATAAGCGTATTGAATCAGAGCGGTTGTTTCTTCAGATTCGGGCGGTATGAAATATTCTCTACAGCTTGCTGTATCAAAACGACGTAGATTCTTTCGGTTAATAACCGTAGCTCCCAACACAGGATCGACTTACTCCTGACGTATGTATTCAAACATGACATCTTTCCACTATGAGGGGTAATTTTGCTTCTGAGTGGTAATTATTGCTTTCAAAACTGTCATTTCACTGTTAGATTATTTCTTTGTATATTTAACTGTCTTGTGTTAAAATAGCGTTTACTGACTTTTTTGGTTTATTCCAGAAATCGTGCAAATGAACCAGATTTTTGTGGAAACTCTCGCCGTACGGTGTTTCAATTTTGGAAAAAAAGAAGAAAGTGAACATGACTTCACTTTAATTTTAGATAAATTTAACTTGAGGCAGCTGGAATTCTTGAAACTACTCCGGAAATTTCACAATCGTTTTTTCAAGTTTAGATGAAAGCTTGTCAATACATTTGAAAATTTCCGGTGAAACTTGGAATCTCTTTCTCTTATTCCAAGTTAACCACGGATTTTTACCAAAGTCAATCAATGCTTTCTTAAGTGTTGGAGTTTGAGATATAACCTTAATTTATTTTCGCGATTTTATATTCTTATTTCAACAAACGCAACGCTGCTTTCTACGATCATGTTTCACTTGAAAATAAATGTTGGAAGCTGAGATAGGGGTAGATTCGCAGCTCCGATGGATATATTTGGCAGAGTTGCGTTCTATACGTTGTATGGTTTATCTTCTGAAGCTTTCATTGTTCTTCTGAAGACCCTTACCACAAACTTCATATGAACAGGAAATATTCGAATTCCTTCACATAATACTGATAGTTTGTCCCGCTGACCATCTTTTTGACTGTATTTGTGTCCACTGATTTGTTACTGTTTCCATCCTCAAATAGCTTTTTGGCTTTCTTGATATACTCTATCTTGTCCGCAATCACTGTAGCATATTTTTTGTCCACTGGATCATATCTTTCCTAGGTCCAGGTTTCCTTAAGATACTTTGCTCTTAGGTGAGCACCCAAATGTTGCCTTCCTCCCGCGAAGTTAGTTCTATTGTTTATCTTGTTTCCTGTTAAGTTTCTTCATTTATTGAGGCTGTTAACGGTGATGAATCCATCACAATTAAGAATTCTAGTTTCAAAATGTCACTTGTTTTGTTGGCCAATAATTTTAGGAAGAGGTATTCTTCTTTCCTCGTTAGGGGTTGTTTTAACTAGTTGACTTTACAACCGTTTGGTTCTCTTCCGCTGATGGTTTTGAGATGTGGATGCTTTTTTCATGAGATTGTTTCCAGGGATTCACGTCTTCTTGATGTCTTGGTCGCTGTCGTCACGATTATCAGGTGTTTCGATATAAGTGCTCCCTTATGGGGCTAATGGAATTTCACTAAGACCTAGTGAAATCATTAAGCAGACTGGTCACTTGGCGTAGAACAGTTAGACATCACCTGTAATATGTGACTTCCACGTAAGTTAGAAGGTAATTATTCCCACTCCATTCGCGAAGTCCCAATCATCTACAAAGATCACGTGAGTTGGTGATTTACAAGTGTATTCATAGCACTACATTTATGAGCTAAGATAAACGTGCCATACAAGAATAAACAAGTAAGAAACGTAAAAGTTAAAATCATATCTACACATTGACGTTGTAGTTCACAAAGTTGATTGTACAAATTGGGAGAAATTATGCAGAATGTGATTAACGACAGAATTTATTTACGAAGCAAGTTTATGCTAAGCATCCTCACATATCTCTCTCCAAAGTATCCGGAGATATCATATGATAGGATACACGAAACAAAAATACACAGAAAAATGCGCACAAAAATGTGTGGTGGAGTTTTAGAGAAAATTATGTGCAAGTAAGTGCGTAATGATGAAAATTTCAGCATTGCATCAAAACTAAGAGCTTTGGAACCAAATTTTGTTTGATTGGACAAAACAACGCTCTTCTGTATTAAGTATCAAGCTAAGGGAATGATTATTCGATAGTTGTTTGGCACCTAAGAGTCAATAGAAGTATTCCAAACATAACGAGGTCAAATAGCTGTCTGAAAGATTCCGAGTAACACTTTCAGGAATTATCATCGATCGAACTATGCCATAACCTTGGGCTTAGTCAAACACGACCCTACTGAAATGGTCCTGGAACAAGCAACAGCAAAATTAAGTAGCTTAGGCAAACCATAACCAAAGTTAAGTAATAGGAGCACAGACAAAAGAGTGAGGAACATGGAGCACAGCTACAAGTGTCCTGAGTAAGATTTGAAATACAAGACAGGTCAGAAGATAGATGTGATAACAAGTAGTTCAATAAAAAGCATTGGGGGAATTTTTAGAGTATTTCTTGTGTTTTCCCAGCCAGAAAAGTCCTCCCAGCTATGTACGGACATGCCTCTGAATACGTTGAGACACCCCAAAACTCAATTTAGTGGAATGTTGAGTTTGGTTGTCTGCCATGAAATGTTTTTGCTCATACTGGTCGTTCAAGGAAGCGATTTCCACGGTGACTTCCAAAATAGTCTTCTTTTCAATTTAGTCGTGAAACTCTGGTTAACCATAAACGGTTGGTTGTTATGTATGTGTTGTGAAGAAAGCGTTTTAGGTTTCTTCAGAAAAGCAATTATATAGAAGTTTCGATAATGTATGCATATTATCTACCATATTTAAAGGGCTCCTATAGAATTTAGAAAAATATTGAGTTGACTTCAAAGAAAAAGAAAGGAAGGCGATAATTTTAAATAAATTCAGAACGAGGGTGGAGTTTATTCTCACCCTCATAACCCAAGTGCTCAAATCATTTCGCCCTCCAAATCAACATCATTTTCGCTAAAATTATTGGCTCGACAATCCTCAGTAGACGATATCAAAGAGTTCAAACATTATATTCGCTCTATGAAACAAGCTTAATTAAATATAGTGTCTAACAGCGCTTAATAAATGTATGTAATTGTATAATCACTTTAGAATACGATATATGACAGCAGATGATTATGAAAGGCGTGAGATTTCAATCCTGTTAGTGTACTTGTGCTTAGTTGTGTGATTGATTCCATTACCTTATACTCTAATATCCTTAAGATTCCTTTGTCTGGTTGTATGCTATCAATGCATAAATACTTGAGACACTCTGAGAAATCTTTAGTGGAGGCTCGTTATTTAATCGTCATTTTTCGAAAGGGCTCTCCACTTTAGTGGCCCGAGATCTGACTTCAAGGAGATCGTTATGATGATTGTTGTTGAAATATATATGTCGCCTATCCTCGTATATAGTCATCGACTTTAATCGCTTTAGTCAATGACGGATTTAGATAAGTCAAATAACGAGAATGGACTTTTCAATACATATATTTTGTATATGAAGCGAATATAATAGAGAGAACAGAAATGACACGCAGTGGAGATGGTGTGTAAGCCAACTCCGCTTCAACCAAACGTTAATCAATATTTATAGTTACACTAAAATAAGTCACAGACATGTGATGAGTAATGGGGTAAGAAACGTACACACACCTACGCGCTCATATAAAAACAGTCAAGATTGATAAGCGAATAACCAACAAGGTCAGAATGTGACTCAAGTAAAATGAATAGGATGGGCTATCCGAAAGCTAGAATAAGTTATATGGGCTTAACATAATAACCGACACTATAAATCAACACTCTGGACAGTTTGAATTCATTCGAAGACACTACAGATTAGATCAGTCATCTAATACAGTCCTGGACTTACTTCACTGCAATATAGTTACCAGGTATTATGTTGTCTGTTTTTCTATTTTAATACAATCTCTAGATCACAAACGCAGATGATCTATGTCCAACGAGTGGAGACCACCACTCTATTTGCCAGTCCATGGCATACGACTAACGGATGCGCGTTGTTTGTCGTTGACTTTGACAGGGGTCGATGGTCTGTTTGATATTCAGTGACCCAAATGCCGGATTATTTGGCCAAGGCTGTGACATTCCTCTGGCCTTACAAATCGTTTGTGCTCTTGAGTACCATTGTCAATATAAATCCGGTTCTTTTAAAAAGATGTACATTTATGGTGTTATTCCAATACTACCATTACTTAAGCTCAGTTGTGTCCTCTCATTCTTATTTTATCTTATTTGTTTATTACTACTGAATATTTTAATTCCATCTTTTAAATATATATCCAAGATAGTTTGCATATTATTTCTCAGTTCGTTCGTTTATATTCGGTCAGCTAATATATATTTGATGAATAACAGAAAAACAAAAGACCTAAACCCTCACGACATGAAGATATTGTATATTGAGTTATAGCGCGGCAATCGAAGAACGATAGTTGGGAGGGGATTTCAAGTCCTTTGTCATGAGTAAGTGATTAATTAACTGAATAATTAATTAATGAGTATGTAATTAACATTTCCAGACCCTAAACGTTAGTTTGATGACCAGATCTGCTTATTGGCACTGCTTGGTTGAGCGGAAATAAATTCTGAATCACTGTATTTTGTTGTGAACATCCTACTGAGGGATATGGGATCTCGAGACTGGATTATGTATAAAGTGTCAATGGTTCGGCTGCTGTACTGCCTAGTTGGACAGAATGAAAGTCAAAAGTTAATAACTCATACTGTAAGGCTAACCATGATAAGCTCCGAAGTTACTCGTTTAAGATATGCTTTTTTTCATAGTACTTGGTTTTTGATCGTAAAGAACCAAGACACCTAGATCTTTTTGAACTCACGATATTTACGGTTGAAATTTTATGGTCTGAGATTCAAGATACAGATGGAGTTGCGTCCCTAATTCTGGGGAAAATTTGGCACACTTTGGGGGGAAATTTTGGGTCATTCGACTTTGGGGATTTCCCCAAAGTTCTCCAAAATTGGCAGCTGGGGTACGTTCATGAATGCTGTATATTTCAGGGTTTCTCAATCAGCTTTCGATTATTGAAAAATATATACACTTATGGTACAAGTTGAACTGTACTTACGGAATTGTAGTCATCAAACGAATGAGCAGGATATTTTATGTATTGATATATTGTGTTTCCAAGCCCGTTAAATAATAAAGACATTTTTTTCGACCGTCGTAGTACTGCTCATAAGTACACATTTCGACTTAAGCTTGAAACATCATACGTGATGGTTCAAAACGTTCGCTTTTGCGGTGTTATAATATGGAATAAATGTACCTATCACTACTTCCCGAACTTCATTTTGTACTAAAAATATTCATAATTGAAATTTATTCGGCGAGACTATAATTTTAGCTCGAAATCTACTCATCCGTCTGATTAAATAGTTTTGGCATCATAGCTGATGTCAGTTCGTGATGAATACCCCAAATCTAATTCTTAACCTTAAACATCAATTGTAAATCATAATTCTAATTCCTGACACAGGCTTATAATACTCATTCGGTGCTAGTTATTAGGTGAACACTCTCAAGGTTAGTTTAGCGTCTCTCCAAGGTTGTCCATAAATTATAGTCTAACCGTTTATTCTACTACAGAACGAAGTATAATGTTAGTCCTAAGACTGCGGCTTGGTAGTTAAGGGGTTTCAATTCCAGCCATAGACAGATATCACCAACATGGAGCCTGTCATAGATATACGTTTGCCGTAGTTGCCACCAGCTTATCATGACGAGATGAAAAAAGTGGTCAAATTGTAGTAGCAACAAGAGAAATATTGAACGTTTGGAATATGGTTTGAGAAGACACAGTGTAAAGGTATGTATGAAGGCGTACTAAAATTCTTTATCAAGATTAAAAGTGAATACATGTGGGGGCGTGTGAACGATTCTGAGCCATGTCACCCAAAATGTTTTACCATCAGTTGTGGGTATTACGCGATCACCAACCAGGCAATCCTTATCTACTAACATGGCTTAAACCGGCAGTCGATAACTTCATGAGCTGGTGTCAAGTTTTAGTGTTTCCATCTCTAGCTTTTCTCCAACCTATCTCTGTACTAGTAAACATCACTTTTTGAGATAAGCGGTAATTAGATATACATAAAATGTTTCCTAACTATCCCAATCAATAAACATTCCAACCTCACTAATCGATTTCCCTTTTTTGTCAGGTACCATATATATGACTTCAACATTTATTTAATTGCACAAATATTAATGCGAATAGGTAAGAAATGATTATGTACCACACAGTAAGAAAATAAGGTTGTAAAGAGATAGAAAAACGTGGGCGGTTGTAATCAAAAGCAGTAAATAAATGAAAACGAGCGAACAAAATTAGTATGTAGTGGTAAGAACAGTTCAGCCAAGATAAATACAGCTGGAAAAAATCGCAAAATAATCACAACAGAACCTTCACTGGTTTTTGTCCTGAACCTTTTCTGAACTTGTCTCAAGCCACTGAATCGGTCTAACTCTCAGACCCCTAGGAGGGAGCTGTGAAGCACCGAAGGCTTCCAGTCATATACAGCTATCTTGTATATACTGACCGAGTGGTCCTATGAAGCACAATGTTAGGTTCTCTGGAACGATATTCGTAACACATGTCCAAACCACTGAAGCAGATACTTCAAGATGGTGACATCGATTGAATTATCGTTATTATGCCCGAATATAGGTCGTCGAAAACCGAAATCACTAACATGGTGTTTCCATTGAATATCAGCAATATTTCGTAGACAATGGTGATCAAACACAGTCTTAACATCCTCGTCACGGAGTGGCCATGTTTCACAAACATCGAGTGAAACTGCTCTCGCCGACGCATTGGAAACCAAACTCGGACCAACATCATTACGGCACCAAAGATGGCCCATATTTGAACAAATTACTCTGGCTATCGCTGTACGTAAATCGATCTCGTCAGTTTCGCACTCACCAGCACTCACAACCTTCACAAAGTTAGGCGTTCACATCTAATAATGGTGGTAGGTAATTTTAACACCGAAGTAAGTAGAGTAGAGCAAACGAAGAGGCACTTAGATGGGTCTTACGGTGTCGCGGCTCAGCAAGCAGGTAATGGCAACCGTCTGCTGCAACTTTGGTGCTATCAGAAGTATGGGGACAATAGTATCTTCTCGGTTGCCCACATCGTGGAAGTATATTTTTTTGGGACCTGAAAGGTAAACTGTATTAGTGGTAGTCTTAGCGACACCACAGAGACTAAGGAACGACTACTTAAAACTGGTCACACACAAGCCTCGCCAGAAGTTATGGATGTGTTAACTTCGTACTTGAAAAGTCTTATTGGCGGAGACGGAAATCCATGAGGTAAGGTCAGGTGTGAAAGTTTTAAGGTTGACCTCTTCAAGTCTCTTCGGTCGTGAGAGGGCATATTTACTGCACATGCTGATTATCCGAGAGAACCTTCTTACTGCCATTTCACCCCTGTACCGTCATCAGTAGAACTTTGCCCCCAGAGTTTTCTGCTTTTAATCTTACCATTCTCCAACCTTGCTGTTTGGAGTGGTGGAACTCATAGGAACAGGTGTTTCAGCCAATACAGCTCAGTTGGATTATTACGATCTCCAAGCTCAACCACCACGCCAATGTAACAGTTACTGTTGTTTTCAACAACTAGGTCACAAGTTAAAGTTTGACTCATTTGGGTTTGTTCGATTAGGTGTTATCATTAACCGTCACACATTGTGCAGTTCAATGCCAAGTGCATGAATATACACCCGGTATATAAGTTTAAAAAAAGTTGTTGTTTGCTTGTTTTGTCTTGATCCACTCTCGGTTCACATCTTCCAAGTCCCTCCAAAGTTTTCTTTTTCTTGATATCTTAGGCATAAATCTTTAAACCAATTCTCTTTATTTTTCAGAAATATTACTTCGGTAGAACAAGTCAACAAATAGCACTTTGTAACTGCTATGATTCATGTTACAGAAGGCCCTTTGAATATAGACCTGTTGCGTGAAAGCTATCAGAACGAATTTTTCAGCTACATCGATGCTCAACCTTCACCTAAGGTATAATTTTACGTAGATATTGTGTTTAATCTATTGTAGGTTATATATTGGGAGAAAGATCTGTTAGCCCATATGAGTTCTGTAGTAAACAATTCGGATTTGAAAGTAATTTTGATAGTGTTTATAATCTTTAAAAACGTTTAGAAACATGGTGTTATAAATTCATTTCTTTTCCAATCTGCTAAAGATTCCTATTCTCCTTCAGCGTGTAAATCTGTAATATTCATTATAAGTCCAAAAGTTAGTATTATTGACTCTGTACAATCATTTTTAGTAAGGTAAGTAGTGTTCTGTGATCTTTTTTTAATTATTTTAAAAATAGAGATTCACAATCCAACCAAAGTGCTGGAAAGCAATATAGTATTATTGCCATTCCGAGGATTTCCCTTGCTTGTAAAAGTTTTTTAAAAGAAAAAAAGATGACCAATAAATTTGCCATGATATCTGAATTTCCCCTAACAATAGTACCTGTAGAATGTGATGTTCTGTCAATGGAAGATTCGCAATGTTTTGCTGTTTGTCTTTGTATTTGTTTTACCATATCCAATGATTATATTTTTCATCTAGAATTACTCCATTTCCGAACGTCAGGATGGTGTCTATCAATTTGTACAAGGTTTGATGCGATTTCAATCAATTTTTGGTCTGTTCCCAAAAATTTATGCTAAAGGTGAAAAGGCCATAGTAAGTGATTATTTATATAGAGTTTCATATAAAACTTAATGTGTTAGTATATCAATTTAATGTATGTGTATTAGGCAATTTTTCTAGTAAGCGTTTTTAGCGAGGTAGTTTTCTACGAGATGGGAACGCTAACCCCATGCCCAACCCTCCTCCTTTACCCGGGCTTGGGACCGGCAGTAACTCTAGAAGAGCTACAGGCGGATCGTCAAACTGCATCACGAGGCAAGCCCCAACTTGGAATCCTGAAGGGAAGCGGAAAAGAGGAAGGCCAATGAACACATTACGTTAGGAAATAGAAATCAGATATGAAAAGGATAAATAACAATAGGAAAGAGCTGGAAAGGATTGTCCAGGACAGGGTTGGATGGAGAATGCTGGTGAGCGGTCTATGCTCCTTCACGAGGAGTAACAGGCGTAAGTAAGTAAGTAAGTATTAGGCAATATACGGAGTTATATCTAATATGCTTTTTGTAAAACTAATTGTACTGTTTTTTTTGAATAGTGTAAACCTATTATAAAGTTCTGAAGTTGTAAAAATAGTGACATTTCGGATTTTAACACTTTGTTTGAAAAATGTCTTATTATCAGAGAAGGGTTTTTGTAGGTATCTTATTAATTTGGTAGTTGAATTCATGAATCAGTTGAATTTAAATCACCATGAAAAATCTGGAAGCACTGGGCAGCCGTTTCGTCGTAGTATGGGACTCCTCAGCAGTGTGCATCCAAGGTCCCACCTCGTGAGAATCCAACCCAGGACCTATCAGTCTCACGCTCGAGCACTTGATCGCTAATTTGGTAGGTCCTGGGTTCGGATCTCGCGAGGTGTTACTATAGATGCGCACTGCTGAGGAGTCCCACACTAGAACGAAATGGCCGTCCAGTGCTTCCAGGTCTTCCATAATGTTCTAGCTTTAATTGATTCATGAATTCAACTGTTAAATGTTTTAATGTTATATACATCAAAATGTTTAAGTATTTCTCACTGCTTTGTCGAATTCACAAACAATATCAGTAGTATGTAAAAATCTCAGCAAAATTAATAACTAAATAATCTTTTCTGATATATTCCAAGTTATAAATCGTATAGATACATTTACATCTATTTATATTTATTTCAAATACGTTCATTCTTTAGGGAGTGGCCAAAATGTTGCGGCGTATGTCTGATGAAGCCAAAGTTACAAATGAACATCAACCATCAGTCACTGCATTAGATGAAATTGAAAGCCAAACTGAATTATTAATTCTTATTGATCGAGCTGTTGATCCTTTAACTCCTTTGTTAAATCAGTTAACGTATGCGGGACTAGTTGATGAGAAATGGGGTATTCGTTTTGGTAAGCTTAAACGTTTCGTTTAATCAAATTACAGCTAAATTAAATAGTAATCTTTATGGTTGCAATTAAAGTGTATGAGTAATATCGTTTTGGTCACGAATTCGATTGTCATGACTAAACCTTCACTTTATTTAAGCAAATAGCACATAAATCACCTTTTGGGAAGTGCTAGTGACACAGTTTGATTCTAAGTAACATCATATAGTACGATGGTTTGTTAATGTTATGTTTTTTATCTTTCACAACCAAACAACTGAAATTTCCATCACCCATTACTTGATGACTTACAATATTTCTGTTATCATAATGGTTGTATCTGCTATACTTCTCTGTAACCCGTTATTTTAGTAACTTACTTTACACCACTTTCCTTAATACAACAGTTTTTATCTGTTGTTCTTTATCTCTGTAAATCTTGTTGGACATTTCCATCATATTATTACATCTCAGAACTAACTCTTAACATATGATTTAGTATTACCATAAACGGAATAGAGGTTAGCAACATAATAACAGGACAAGCTAAACTATTCCTCTGCACGCCAGCTCTGTTAACCAACGGAAGAAGACCTGATTCAGGCGAGAAAACATATAATTCTATAATCAGCGCAGAAGGAAAAACAAACAAACAAACACACAACTCATATATGTGTATGTACAATACAAAAATGTCATAAAATAGCGTACTAAAAGAAACAATGAAGCAATAATATTTTAGGTCCTTCTAAGTGGGAAGCACGAACTGAAACTAAAACTGGTCGCTTTTGGCACGAAAGTGTGACATTCAAATCAATTATAGACTACTAAAAACATTCGTAAAAACCCTTTTGAACAATTACACTTTAAATGTGTATTAAGCGTAAATTTGTTTCGATATTGCATAATTAGTACTAAAGATTGTAACTAAACAGTGCTATTATCATTATTATTACTATAGTCACAGTAATTAATTTTTCATGTAATTTGATAATCAATAGTTTATAATTTGGTGTCACATTTGATTAGTAAATAGCTATTCTGTTTTCACTGATCCTTCTAAATAGTTAGCTGTTAAATTCATTTGGTGTTGTTTTACTTGAATCTTTCCATTGATGTTTAGGACTGCAATTGATCAGTCTCTTGTTGGCATATGTGCATATTGTGCGTATTGCATCAATATTAACTTAAGTCACAAGCTTTTTAAGCAAAGATGGATAGTGGCTAACAGTGGAACTCAGGACGCGATATAAGTAAAACAACACCAAGTGAATTTAAACTTCACCCCATTTCACATGCAGGTGTCCATCAAGACTCACTAAGTGGATAACGCGATGGCGTTTGAAGCGAACGGTACTGGGTTCGAATCCCGGAGTGAACAGCAACGCTGAGATGCAGGGTATATCCAGTTGATGAGTCCCAAATATGACGAAACGTCCAGCGTTCTGGATTCCACTGTTAGCCACTATCTATCTTTGCTTAAAAAGATTTTTAGCTGATCACGGATGCGCTTCTCCCCCTCTCAATGCAAGTTATTGCTTCAGGACTGGCCTGCGTCAAACCTGAACTAAGGATAGAGAGTGAAGTAGTCGAATGTGTTGACAACTTCACTTAAAAGTCTGATTCCGACCTTTGCTGCTATCTTGACGCGGCGGTCGGGCTTGCCTACCGTGATAAAGCAACTGGGATATACTAGCTGGAATAATCGTTTCTCAAGGTCCTACCTTGCCAAAAAGGTCGGTTAAAGAACGGTAAGACTAAAAGCAGCAAACTCAAGGTCCGAAAGCGAAGTCGTACAGCTGACTGTACAGAGGTGTGACAGCGGTAAGGTGTTTCCTTCAGACAACCAGCATAACAGCAATGCTGCCTTCCCACATGGAGGGGTGGGGTTAGAAATTGTCGACCCTAAAAATGCACACCTCGCCTTATCCCATGGATATCCGTCTCCGGCGGTAAGGTCTCAACAAGTACGGCGCTAACAAAAAAACTCCTTACAAAAAGGTCGTGTGTGATCGACCTCAAGCAGTTGTCCCTTAGGCACTGCGGTCACTCTCTCAGGTCACCAAGACCACCTCTAATTCAACTTCCTTTTCAGGTACCTATAGAAGAACCCTTCCACAGTAATAATAGTAACTCATTATTGTTTGTGATTATTAATGTTGTAAAGTTTTAATGAAAATGACTTTTTATAAGCAGAAAGATAATAAAGATTTGTTTATATTGGGATTTCTCTCTTATTTATGTGATTTTTATTATCAGAATGGGTTTTGTGGAGATTTTTAGAAATTTCACTGGTTGAAATCATGAGTCAATTGGAGCTAGATCACCATGAAAAACCTGGAAGCACTGGACGGCCGTTTCGTCCTAGTATAGGACTCCTCAGCAGTGCGCATCCACGATCCCACCTCCCGCGACGTTCGAACCCAGGACTTATCAGTCTCACGCCAAGCGCTTAACCAACTAGACCACTGAGCCGGCCGGCCGGCATCCAACGGTGTTAATGTCTAACTTCAACCAATCCACGAAGTTGCGCCACCGTACATCATTGTCTTCAGTGAGTTCCTATCTCACAACAGACCTGGTTGAACTCTACTGGTAACAACTTCTCACTAGAACTCCAGGAGTGTCTCCTGAAGTCAGTCACTAGTGAGCAGATGATTATTATCAGAATAGGTTTTGTGGAGATTTTTAGAAATTTCACTGGTTGAAATCATGAGTTAATTAAAGCTAGACCATCATGGAAAACCTGGAAGCACTGATTTGATTTTTGTTATCCTAATTAGATTTTTCTTTATTCAATTAGAATTGTTAATATATTTTTTTTTCTATTTTTTCTAGGTATTTGTCGACCATGTTTTCAAGTTGAAAATGAATCTTCCAAAAAATTCTTATTAAATTCTACAGATTTAGTATATACTGAAATAAGAGATCGAAAATTTTCTGAAGTTGGTTTAATTCTATCAAAAATTACTAAAGAAATTTCTACACTTGTTACTGTAAGTTATATGAATGTAGTTTTCTTATTTTGAGAACTGATAAATTAGATCAGATGATATGTAATCTAGCAGCTGGATTTAAGATCTCTGAATGTATTTAGGACTTAGAAATGTCTTCATAAGAATCATGAGCAAGTATGCGCGACTGGAAAAAAAAATGCTTGGAACACTAAATAATGATTCAACTGACTTGCGGTTATTTTATTAGTTACTGGCTGTTAATCCAAAAGCCTAAATAGATTATTGATAGTTCTTAGATTGTAAAGACTATAACTAACCTGAAGCAATGATGTGTAGGGCAAGCCAACCTTAAAAATGATAGTCTAGAGTGTTTATTAAAACTAGTTATCAAATTATGTATATCCAAGGCGTTCCGTATAATGCACTTTGATTGATCTCATTTTCCTAGTTTTCTTGTAAAGCCACTGTTATATGCTAACCATTGGTTATTATTATGAAACAATATATCAACATCGGAGCTAACTTTTCGTTGGTGAAAATCGTGGTTTAATTTCCGCACTTTAATAACAAATTACGGCCTAATGTACTCATTTTTGACTAACACCTTATACAGGAGGGTTAATGATACTAGGTTTTTGCCCAAACTAAAGTCTCTGGAACGTAGGCCCTAATCAGCAACGTTGTAATTAAGAGTAGAGGACTTGAACCAATAGACTAACGTTACACAAATAAAGCTCTTTAAATTCAAATAATTCATTGCTGTGTACACAAATTCACAGATACTATTTACATACTGAAATGGTGAAGAAGGTTTGTAGCTGAGGTGGATGATTTCGGTGGATTTTTAATCTCTGAGCTGAATGGTTTGATCGTGGAGCTTTCATCCTTATTCCGAACGACATCATGACAGAATGAAGTATTAGAATTTCTCCACATATGACACGGTTTGTCTTGTCGACCTTGATCTTGACAGGTTATCGTTGACCTTTAACGTGTTACTGTTGACTTCTTTATTTTGATTGTATCTCCCATTGATTTGATTCTTGGTCCTATATTTGTCCATGATTTTTTTGATTGGTTGATAGATTGGATCGAGTTCAATGTGTTTGTTGATTGCCGATTGACCTGAGTGCCAAGCTTCTAAAAATTCGCTGATGTTTTTAGAAATCCTTCTATCCAAGATCTCAACATTTTACCAGTCGAGGGTATGTCCACAGTTGTCCACATATGCATTGATATAGGTGAGTATACGTCATGGCGTTTGATCGCTAATTGGTGTTCGTGCAGGCGAAGGTGAAGAGGGCGTCCACTTTGTCCGATGTAGTGTTTTTCGCAGTTGGAGCAATTTATTTTGTAGATGATGTTCGGTTTTCTTTTGCCATTTCGTCCTTTGGTTTGCATAGGATTGATTGAAGTGATTGTGCTGGTTTATGTGTTACACCTATTCCAAAAGGCTTCAATAATCTCGTAATTTCTTATGTCTTTTATATATGGTTCAATGATCCGTTTGTTGGTTTCTGTACTTGATTTTGTTTCTGCTGGTGCATTTGGTTGATATTTTCGGTGAAGTTGACTGCGTCGTTGGTGAGGAGCGGGGATAGAGTTTCCTTTGATAAGCTTGGTTCAATTGAGATGAATAAGGCTGTTACATCCAAGGATATCATCATTTCGTCGTTGTTGATTTGAATGTCCTTAATCTTATTCACGAATTGTACGGGAGATTTGATGGAGTGATTAGATGAATTCACTAAGTGTTTCAACATTCGTGAAAATTTTCTTGACTAATTGTATGTTTGGGTTCCGAGGAGTGCCACAGTTGGACGTAGTGGGATGTTTGGTTTGCGTATTTTCGGTCTACCACAGAATCGAGGGAGTAGTGGTCTATTGAGTTTCATTCTTCATTGATCTTGTCTTGATATTTGTTCTGCTTTGACAAGTTTGTTTAAAGTCCTTAAGATTTGGTTGTCTGACCTTTTGACTGGATTTGTGTTCATTGGTTTATATACGCTTTCATCCTTAAGTAGTTCCTCAGTTTTCCTGATATATTGTTCCTTGTTCGTAATCATTAGTGCATCTTTTGCCTACTGGAACTATGACAATATCTCCTCTAGTTCTGAGTTTTTTCTAAGGCTTTTTGTTCTTGGGAGGTCAGTTGGGTGTTGTCTTTCTTCCATGGAGTTAGCGGTACTATACTTCGTCTTATTTCCTGTTGCGTTTCTTCACTTATTCCGTCAGTTTTGAGTGATGACTCGAGTGCTGTGAGGAATTCTAGTTCTGAGGCGTCACTTGTATTGTAGTTCAATTCGTTTCAGAGCAGATGTTCTATGTTTATCAGAGGTTGCTTTGACAGGTTGGCCGTGCATTTGTATTTTCTTCCGTGGGTGGTTTTGAAATATTGATTAGTTTTTTTCTCTTTTCTCTCTTACACTTGTCGGCAGAACGTGCTGACGAAGACACTCTCGGACAAAAGATAGTTTTTCTCGGGTGGAAGCCATTATTTTGGCGAAATTTTCTCATTTTCGAACAACAAGAAGTGTTTAAGATACAGAGCTCCAATCAACTCCCCAATGAGATGTAGAATAGCTGAGCAAAGTGGAGGAAAAATGGTACACGTAACGATAACTGATGCACACTACAGGATCCACAAATATCAACACTTCATGGACGACAACAGCCATCGAGCTATCATGCAAATGACATAGATTCGTTTTTTCTTTGTTCTCTGTTCGAACACTTCACTTCTGCCTGAAGTTTGTGATGCTGTCGTTCGGACTAACGATGAAAGCTCCACGACTAAACCATCCAGCTCAGAGAATAAAACCCCACCACTATATACACACTTTTTTGTAAATGAATTTATTGATCACGTCAACCTTGAAGATTATTTTTTCGTTGTATGATCTGTAGTGAAATGTTAGCATGTTGCATATCGGACACCAGAAAATGTAATAACCAAATTAATCTCATTAAATTTTTTGTGTACAGTAAATAATGGACTAAAGCTGCTAGGTGTGTATTGTGTTATGTTTCTTCCATTTTATCAGTGGTTAATTGTAGAATTCTTCTGTTTTATATACACATTTCAAGCAATCCAAGTCAGCCAAAGAACTAACCGATTTACGCGTTGCCGTTAGTCGGATTCCCGAAATTCGCTCAAAACAATCACAGCTGGAGATACGTAAGTCCTTTTTTCCAGAATACTACTGGTTTTTAAACAGTCGACTTATCGATTTCTCTCAACATTTTTTGAAGGTCAGTTTTAATCATGGACCAACGTCACTTGGAAATTTTTTAAAAAAGTTAGTAGCATTGAATGACTGTTTTGTTCTAGTTTGTGACTCCTCGTCAATGCTCTCTTACATTTCTTTACCTCACATAGTACCTTGGACCTTTGGGTCCATCGGTAAACACAATACTTATATCCTACAAAGTCGGATTCTAAACGGTCTTTATTTTCAACTTCGGTAAGTTTGTGATAATAAAACCATCATCTAGTAAGGCGGCAGAACCCCAAAAGTAACAGATTTTCACTGTTAGACTAGACTATCCCGTATTTCTTGGTTTATAAACATTAATTACCGTTTACTGACTATAATCTTTTAATGGACCGAACCAATTTGTTCTATTTTTAGTTTACTGTTACTTTTCTATGTAAACAACCTTCTTCTAGATACTTCACTCGCAGAAGAAATACAAAAATATGTGAGCACTGATGATTTCTTATCAATTTTAAGAGCTCAGCAAGGTAATGTTCTATGCGTTTTTGTGAAATTCCATTCCTTTTATTTCTATTACATGTACTTTTGTGCTTTAAGCAACGTTTATGTGATTGTTATTTTATGAATGAGAACTTTTTAATGAATTGTCTTACTTACTTACACCTATTACCCCCAATGGAGCATTGGCCACCGACCAGTATTCTCTAGCCCATTCTGTCCTGGACCTTGCTTTCTAGTTCTATCCAATAGTTGTTCGTTATTCTCATATCTGTCTCTATTTCTCAGCGTAATATGTTCTTTGGTCTTCCTCTTCTCCTTTGGCCTTGAGGATTCCATGTGATGGCTTGCCTTATGACGCAGTTGAGTGCTACCCTCAATGTATGTCCTATGCACTTCCATCACTTCTTCCTGGGATCTGGTTTGTTCTCTCCCATATTAGATTGTTGCTGATAGTGTCTGGCCAACAGATCCGGAGTATTTTGCGTAGGCAATCGTTAATAAACACTTGTATGTTCTGGATGATGGCTTTCTTAGTTCTCCAAGTTTCCACCGCACAGAGTAGAACTGTCTTGACATCTGTACTAAAAATTCTGATTTTACTGAAATTAAGAAACCGATATTTTAGCTTAATAAGTGACATCAATTATTCAATACAGTGTATGCTATTGAGGTATGTGAATGAAATGATTCAACAAGATCATTGAGTGTATGAAAACTATGAATAAATATCAGTCACTTATAAACATCGTAGAATCTGTGACATATTTACTTCAGTTGAAGTTTTCACATAATATCAGTACAGTTGGATGAAATTATTTAGAAAGATCTCAGAATAGCAGAAGGAATAATAGTATTAAAAACAAGATAATCGATAAGGTACAGATAACATAAATTGAGAAGAACTATTGTATTCCCAGATTAAAAGTATTAATATACCTTCCCTTAATTTATTGGATTCGCCTGAGATTCGGTAGACGGTCGCTCATTGGTCGTGCATTGGTTGAAGTTAGATATTAACACCGTTGGGTCCCGGCTCATGAGTCTATAGGTCACGCGTTCACGCGCCAGACCGAAGGTCCTGATTTCGAACCCCTTCCTTGCGGGGTCGTGGGTGTTCACTGTTGAAGAGTTCTATACTAGGACGAAACGGCTTTCAAGTAAAACTACTGTTTAATCAAAATACATATCATACATGTTTAGATCTATCTTATCATGTGTATAAAATTTACAGACTTGCAATATTAATCCCATTTTTTAATGCTTTTTGTTATCAATAAATTCAAATCATCTTGTAAATTAGCCATGGTAGTTTACAGTCTACCGGTTATAAAGACAATATGATATACGAATTATTTTATTTGAACACATAAACGTTGGTACAAGGGGGCACCAAATACATAATAACAATGAGGCCAGTAGTAGTTATCATTGATTTGTGTGAGGGTTATGATACCGCCCCGGGTACCTAAACCGAGACAGGTGGTTTTCTTAGAGGGCCACACCCGAAGTCTTAGACCTAAGGATCTGATTCACAAGGCAGTGGAGCAACGTCAAGGGGTGCTGTCCCATGGTAGCCGGTGACCAATAATTGGTCCATACTCCATTTATTCCTTCAAGATCCTGGAGCCCATGTGCACCATTGGTTTGGAATGAGGGTTTTCCAACTCCCCTAGGTGGACCTTCCTTATCCACTAAGCTAGTTAAAGCACCAACATCAAATAATATGGGTTTCTACAATAATTAGTTCATTAATCATTAATATTTTATACGTTGTCATATCATTTATGCGATTTGCTATGATTGTTATTATTATTTTTTCTTATTTAATAAGATTTTATTAATGGCTACGAAACAGATAAAGCACATCCTTTCATTGAAGAATGTATCCTGAGAGGTGCACCTATTGAAGAGGTACCTAGACAATATATCTAACAAATTTGTTTATTTCTATTTAATAATGTTTTCTCATAGTCACTAAACTATACAGTAGTATTATTGACATCACGAACAGATCTATGTTAGACATTTATTGAAAACCAGGAATTGCTGGATTTAGGTCAGTCTTGTGATATCAATGACATTATACAATCTCAAAAAGCCTCTACATGATAATTATCATGTTCACACTATTGACTAGCTTCGAGAAGAAATTTTCGAAATTCTAGTGACAAACTGTGACTAGTGGAGTTCAAAGGTATTGAGTGTAAGTCAGTTGCTCAACGAAGACAGTGTGAAATGACCGAACAATGTCGTGAATTAACTGAAGATCCTGGGCTCAGTCTTCAATGGGCTTGAGGATACTACTGCAGGGGAGTCCCGTACTTAGAAGAAACAGCTGCTCAGTACTTACTGGTTTCCAGTGGGTGTTCAGCTTAGTTTGGCCCGTGACCTCAATAACATTCAATGGTCTCCACATATCCCATATAGTGACATACGTTTTTGTTGCCCAACTTTTCTCATTACCTTCATTTTTTTCATTTGTAATCAGTACTAGTTGGTTAAGCTTACAAAACGCTACCCTAGATCTTCCTTTCATCCAAACCCTGAAGGAAATCCATTGGCCATCACTTTAGAGTTTCCTGTCATGAGCATAAACTTTGCCTTTGAAATCTGGACATTGGCTACTTTGATGGCTATTCATCTGACCTCATTTAACTGGTGTAGTGTACTCCAGGTATTTTCAGACTTGGCATCGAATTATTGTGTTCTCGAATTTGTACTAACAGCAGCACGTTCAGAAGCTAAACAAGTATTTCTGAATCAGATTTTAGCAGACACTAAGTTATACTATCCAATTGAATAGCATTGGTAAGAACTCCAAAGGATTAAGAAATCTGTTGTTCCCATTACTTAGTCCTCTCCTTAGCTCTCAGCTCAACCGAAACAGATGATGAGCTTTATCGAAATCTCTCCCACATTCACAAACTTGGTACATTAGCTTAATTATTGCAGCAATTAGTTTTAATACTTAAGTTAACAGACCAGGTCAAACAGTAAGGTACTTAAGTAGAACTTTTGATTGACCGTTTCTTGTATCTGCGGATTCTGTCGACAATTTTTGAAATCATGAACTACTGAAGTGCTCACGATAAAAGTTAAGAACACATAAAACCAGTGCAGATGAAAATTTATTGACCTTTCTAAAGCACGTTGAAGTTTTCTGACCTAGATTCTTTAGTTATAAACATTCCACCTATTTCAAGTAGGAGTGATATTTTTAATTCTTGGACAGGTACTGAAGTTAGTCCGTTTTAACGGCACTGTTATATAATGCTTGTCTCTCCAAGTTTTATTATCATTGAGTGTCCTTTCTTCCCTGTATACTCTTTTGTTTGGTCGTTCTCTGGCTGTGATTGGTTGACCGTTTCAATTGATCTCAAATGACTTTTGAACCTGGCCTTAAGTAATCCACTAGAGCTTTACTCGTTAGTGGATTGCAAAAGAGCATGCTTGCTGTCGTTTCATTCCTTATCAATTAATACAAGGAGTAACGAGAAACTAGAATAAAAAGTTTAAATTTTGATTTTTCCTTCAATTATCTTATCTTAAGATTCAGGTTGCAATTATAGAGATGAAGTTAAAAATCTGAAAGAAAAACGTTAAACTTCAGCTATCTCTTTACCTTAACCCATTGACTAAAATATTGTAGTTTTATTCGTAATCAAGGTGATTATCAGAAAGTAGTCAAAAATATCGTTAAGAATAACTAACATTAATAATGTGATTTTTTTAAATTTGAGCCGATTATCCGAGCTTGAAACGCCCACTTTTAAACATTCTTATATTCAGTACGTTTTTTTTTAAAAAACATCCTGGTTAAATAACTCTTGCAAAACTAGTTTAGCGTTTCAAAATAAATCAGTTTTTTTCAGATAATTCTTTGATGACTAAGTGCAAGGAGCCCCCAAATGCTCTGGTATGTCCGAGAGTGGGAAGAGTTCGTTCTCCATTTCGAAATGCGCTCACATGTCCACGCGTATATAGCCTTTGCCAGGGAAGTCCTACTCATTGCCTTCTCGTGGCGGGGCTGTTGTTTACGAAATTGAGAGGACGAAAACCGAATGTTCGGCGCTTTAATCGGGTTGGTGGACATGGAGAGTCCACCTAGGAGAGTTGGAAAACCCTGATTCCAAACCAATGGTGCACATGGGATCCAGTATCCTGAAGGAACAAATGGCGTATGAACCAATCGTTGGTCACCGGCTACCATGAGACTGCATCTCCTTACGATGCTCCACTGCCTTGTGGATCAGACCTTCAGGTCGAAGGCTTGGGGTGTGGTCCCCTAAGGAAACCACCTACTACGGTTTGGGCACCCGGACAGTATCACAGCCCTCACACATATCAAATGAGATTTGTGGGGCGCATATGTATTTGGTGCCTCCTTGTATCAATATCTATGTGTTACAGTAAAATAATAAATAAAGGAGACAACAATTATATATGCGCCATACAAATTATTCGGTTTGTGTGACGGTTGAAGTACTTACCATGTGCACTAATCGAAGCAGATGATTTTCTTAGGGGACCACTCCTCCAGCTTTTGACCTACAGGTTTAATTCACAAGACAGTAAAGGAACGTTAGGAGATGCAGTCATATGGTAGACAGTGAACAACAATAAGTTCATATGATTATATATACCATTGGTTTGGAATCAAGCTTTTAAAACTCCCTTAGGTGGACTCTCACTGTCCATTAACCCACTTAAAGTCCCGATTATTCGCTTTCCATCCTCTCAGTTTCGTAAACAACACCCTTATTGAGAAAAGGCAATGAGTAGTAATTCCTTGACAGTGGCTGTATATGTGTGGCCATTTAAGAAGATTTCGAGAAGTAGGGGGGGGCCAATTCCTCTATTAGTATTTTGATAATCAGGGCTCGTTAAGTTGAACATTATCAATGGGAACTTTAGTTTTTATTCGATATGATTGTTTACAGTTAAGTAGTTATTCTAAGTTCATATGTGTAATCACTACAATGTTGTTGTTGTTTTGTTTTTTTACTTTAAACAATTTTGAAGTTGTTATTGTTGTCATATTAAATCTAGTGTTATTTTGATTAGTTCATCATAGTAATGTGTACTTATTTACTTACTAATCTCTTGTTTATCTATTGGAGATTTCTTTCATTTTCTATCGTTTTCTTTCATCTATCTTAAGGTTCTTCGTCTTATTTGCATTCAATCATTTTGTAATGGAGGCTTAAAGCAACGACTTTTAGACTATTATAGAAATGAAATAATACAAGTGAGTTTAGATGTGTATACATATATATGTATGATTCGTTCATTCAACTGAATATTAAGGCTATCCAGATCTTAAGGGTTATTTTAATTATCAGTATGGGTTTATGAAGATGGTTAAGTTTTTTCATTAAGTTTATGAATCGATTGATATTACACTACCATTAAAAACCTGTAAGTAGTGAATGGTCATTTCATCCTAGTATGCGCACTGCTGAAGAGTTCCATACTAAGACAAGACGACCCGTTCAGTGCTTTCACGTTATTTTAATTGACACTTAATTTATGTGTGAATATTTATCAAACATGTGTCGGAAGATCCGAAAATAATGTTTAGCTTAATAAGCAAAGTGGATAACGCGATGGCATTTGAAGCGAATAGTACGGGGTTTGAATCCCAGAGTGAACATCAACTGTGGAATACAGGTACATGAAACTCGCGTTCTGGATTCCACTGTTAGCCACTATACATCTTTGCTTAAAAAGACAATATGGAGGTGATCCGCACAGGATACACAAATGCCAATAAGTGACTGATCAATTGCAGTCCTAAACAATAATAGAAAAGATACAAACAAGAAACACCAAGTGAATCTAAATGTTTAGCTTATTTAATAAACAGTATATAGCCGGACATAGTGATAACCTTTAACTTATTGGAGGACATCATAGATCAGATGGAATAGAAAATGTGTGTAAATTCACATTCTCACATTACTTGCATGTTGAATGAAAAGCTGTTTGTGTAATAGTCGCATACAAATGGTTTCCTAATTAACAGTTGAAAAAAGGATCCCAAAATCGTTCCAACCACTTCAATTTCTTTAGACAGAAACGATACTGTATTAAGTCTTTAATAAACTGGTAGACTTTACTCAGTTCTTTTTTTGTTAGCATAATCTTGACATTCAAATAAACTCATGTTTTCTATTATTTTACGATGAAGCATTTTAATAAAATAGTCTTATTTTGTTCCATGAGGAAATCTTCACTCTTTCAGTATAAATTTTTTTAGATAGTAAGGAGTCTCATATATTTTATTACCTCATACTCGATAATGCTAAGAAATCTATCATTGTGTGCCTTAGTAGTTGAAAGGTAATAATGTTTCCCATAAAACATCTGTGTCTATTGATATAAAAAGTAGCACAGCGTGATTAGAGCACAGAAATATATATGAGAGGTGCTTTACTCGGGTTGATGGATGTAGATAATTCACCTAGAGGAGTTGGAAAACCCTGATCCCAAACCAATAGGCTTCAGGATTCTGAGGAAACAAATGGCGTGTTAACCAATTATTAGTCACCGACTATCATGAGACATCATCTCCTGACGTTGCTCCACTGCCTTATGGATCAGACCTTTAGGTCAAAGGTTGGGGGAGTGGTTCCCTAAGGAAACCACCTGTTTCGATTTAGGCACCCAGTCAATATCACAACCTACACACAAACCAAGTGACTTGTGTGATGCATATGTATTCGGTGACCCTTTGTACCAATATTTGTGTGTTAAAATAATAAATAATGAGTAAATTGCACTTAAACCATAGATATATAAGTTTTTGTATGGCTGCCCATCGTGATGAACAGTAGTCAAGTAAAATTATGTAACCAACTAACAATTGAATAATCATACATACTCGGATCATGTTTTTTGAATTTTTTCCTACTTTTTAAGGTCTACGGTTTTGAGCATATTTTCACACTGGATAATTTGGAGCGTGTAGGTTTGCTTTATGAATCTCCTAATAGTCTAATGAGTAGTATACAAACATCAAGTTTCACACCCCAAGAAAAAATCAATTCAAGAAATAGTAGCCTGTCATCGTCAAAGTTGTCAGCGAACCTAAAACAAACAATTATTAACATAAGTAGTAGTTATAATTCAGTACTAAAAGGAAACCTACGCCTTGTTGTTCCGCCTAATTCCAATTCAGTGAATGACTCTGAGCAAGCAGCATCTAGTTTGTTTTCCGGTTATATTCCTATATCTATTCGTCTTATTCAAATATGGACAAACGATTGGTATCCTAAACCTAATCTATCATTAACAAGTAGAGGTATAACAGATCAAACTACGTTCACCGGTGGCGGTTCGGGGGCTTTTTTACTGTCTAAGGCTACACGTATAGTTTCAGGCCTTAGATCTTCAGAGAGTTTGGAAATGTCTGTGTTACCAGAGTCTAATGAGCGCAATGTACCTGAATTAAACAGTCGTGCAACATTAACACCGACGGCAGAGAAAACTGGTGGTTTTCTTCCGAACAATTCGTTAACTGCAACTTCTAATCGTACAACATCTTCACTGACTAACTTAATATGTGCTCCAGAATTTAAAGTACAACTACCAGTTAAAGATGATTTACCTTTCACGTCCAAAAACGGTTGTTTAAATATGAAAAATCATCCAAATAAACCACGTATTGTAGTCGTTGGTTTTGTTGGCGGTGTGAGTCATGCAGAAATATCAACTTTAAGAACTATAGCTGCTAGTGAAGATGGTAAGTTACTATCGGTTCAATATTAATGTGATCGTTTTTTTATTTTCGCGTGTTTCAGTTTAAGTGGAATATTTTCAAGTGGTCTAGTGTGCTGGTACCTCGAATTATAATATTGTAGTTGAGCGGATTGAAACAGAATAATATCCTGTTTGTTTTCATTTTGGCAATATGGAATCCCCATAGCTAATAACTTTTGGAACTGGCATTATTTAAGGTATGGATGATGACTTGAGCAACTTATCTGTTGATGTGATGTAGCTTCAAAGCATGCTATTAAGTGACTCGTCAAATCTGACAAACCGAGACAGAAAATGATCTGCAAAGTCAATCCTGTTATTGCAGAAATATTTGAAATGCATGACAAACCTTAATTCGTGAGAGATGTCTGTGGTATTCACCAAATTAGTGTGAAATCAGACGAAGGTACCTTCTTAAATGTATTTACAACAACATACGATAAACTGTATGACAATTTATAGCTTTGTGTCAATTGATGGAAGACTATCGAAATCAGAAAGAACAGAACAAAATGTAGAACTTATCATAAATATTAAGTTGGTGTAAATGCTTAAAAATATCACAACCATAGATAGCCATAACATAGTAATTCTCTCAAAGTTATTAGAATTGAAACTAGTTACTGAATATTAGTCAGTAACATGATCATAAAAAAGGGGATCGGAAAAGAGTACGATACAGATAAAAAAGTCACTGTATACATTTCATTTATCCCAAATCCCCGTCTTCATAATCAACCTCCCTCTTCAATTTCTATTATTTTTCCTACATTGACTTTCAACTCTAAACTCCCTCTTTCGGCTTCCTTCTCAAGTGTCACCATAGTCAACGATTCTAGTGCGCAAAACACTATCCCAGGTCTATTGAAACCTTGCTCCAGACTACACATTGGAGCCTTCAACGTACGCACACTATGACCACATGTTGTGTATACATGAACACCGATTACCACAACGTGTGATGCTAACCGGTGTTGGAGATGGTTGGAAGAAAGCTAGGGGTGACCAAACCAAAACGTGACATCAGTGCTTGAAGTCACTAACTTCCGGTCTTAGCCATGTTGGTAGATGCAGAATACTTGGTTGGGGTCCGCGAGACTATTGTAACCAATGGTTAGAGACTCTGTGTGACATGGCCCAGAATCGATCACAATGGCGTACTTAGGTGTATACACTCTCTATCTTCCCTTAAACCGTGAGAATAAAATTGCTTCCTTTCTATGAACTAGTTCTTTCTTCTTGTATCATTTACTTATATGCAATCTTTCTTTCATATATTACTACTCGTGAAGCAACTACTTCTATGCATTTAGTATTCATTTTGCTGTGCTAATGAGGTATGTCAACTTGGACTGATGCATATATGTGCCTGGTCCTACGTTGTGACTGACTATTCGTCAACAAAAAAAGAAACTGTGTTAACAATATTTTTTTATTTTAAAAGTTAAAACACTTACAAATAGATTACCTTTATCAATGTGCCACAGTTGGACTTGATAATTTTAAATAAATTGAGCATTTGGTATGTTAGGTCGTAGTGTATGCTACTTATGTTGACAGATATAAGTAATATGTAGCACTAATGGGAATTCGAATGCTTACCAGCAAGAAATGAAGAAGATTGAATTGAAGAGAGCAAGAAGAAAAACCGAGAAATTGTAATAACAACAGAATTTTGAAAGAATCATGAAGAATATGAAGGACGATCGATGGAATAGTGCAAATGACGTATTTAATGTATAGTTTTCATATTTTATGAAAACACTGTTCTTTTTCATCAGTAAAAACTATTGAATATCCTATAGTTCAATTCATGAGTCAATTGAATCTAGACCAACATGAAAAACCTGGAAGCACGAAACGGCCGTTTCGTCCCAGTATGGGAATCCTCAGCAGTGCACATCCACAATCTCGTCTATCGAGATTCAAATCCATGACCTATCGGTCTCGCACGAAATCTTAACTTCTAAAGCACTGACCTGGTCGGCATCCAACAGTGTTAATGTCTAACTTCGACCAAGTCACGAAATTTCATGACCATCTTCCATTGTACTGAGGTAGATACCTGGCATCGATTAACTCTACTAATTACGACTTCTCATTAATAGTCCCACAATAGGACGAAACAGCCGTCTAGTGCTTTTAGGTGTAACTTCAATTAACTCATGAACTCAACTATAAAATTACTAAAATCTCCACAACCCCCCCCCTTTTGATATTGAACATGCATAGAAACTTATTTTATCATCGAAATAATTGTATCTCTTTTGTTTCTGTTTCACTCACTCACTCATTCAGTCATTGATTCATTCTTCTCCTTTTTTTTTCTTTCTTTTTCCAGCAAATGTTGAATTTGTTATTATTACAACAGGATTTATAACAGCACAATCGTTTATTGGTTCTCTTTGTCAACCGGTTAAATCAACTAATCTGATTCCATTTTGATTCCCTGCCTCTCCTTTTTTTTTCTTCTTTAAATCTTGTTTTAACGGATTATCTAAAAAAATGTTTTCTCTTCTTGTTTTCTTTATTTATTTTTACATGATCATTTACTTCAATCAAACATTCTACTTATATGATCTCTCTTTTTTTTTTAAAAAAAAACTAATTTCTTATTTAGATTTACAATAACTAAAATAGTAGTCGTCGTAGTCCTAGTTGTAGAAGTAGTAGTGGTCGCGGTAGTCCCAGTAGTAGTCGTCGTAGTGTTAGTAGTGGTCGTGGTAGTGTAGTGAACAAGACCACGGGTGGGGACAGTCGAGTGTATTTAGCACAACAATTACAGACTATCTCAATAAAATCTAGATACCATATAGTAAATCGTCAATTTGCAAAATGTTCATGCATCTAATCAAACTGGACTGTTTCTGTTGCAAACACTAATCCATTGTGTCCCATTCCATTGTTCATACGTTTTCTTACAAATTCCATTGAGTTTTCGCTCTTCTTTTCTTCATCTTCCCCTCATCTTCTGCTGCCAGACATTACGTTTTAACTCGTGTCATATACTACTCATATCAATATAAGTAGCTCACACCACAGTAGTAGTAGTGGTCGTGGTAGTAGTAGTAGAACTAGTCGTCATAATCCTAGTCGAAGTAGTTGTCGTATTCTAGTAGTCATAGTAGCGGAAATTGGATTAGAACAAAGTAAATTCTTAATTTCTTAATAACAATTGAGAACTAGATGATCAAAGGATTGATTTACAGCTTCAGTTATTTAGTGATAAATGAAATAAGAAAAGAACAAGGTAATATTTTGTTCAATGAAGAATATTGATAGTTTCAAATAAGTTCAGCATTGAGTGGGAAGTTGTATGTCTGAAGTTTCGTGACTTAATGTAAGACACTTCTTCAAAGTTCCATTATCCGTTTGCCCTGAAGAAGTGACTTACATTCAATCACAAAACGTCAGAAATACAACTTCTCTACTCATTGGGATATAACAAAAACTATATTGATTATTATATTATCTATTATTTACACATAACCTGTGTTACATCTGAACGAAGAATAAATGAATAGCAACTGCTAGGAATTATTTATGGGCTTTCATTACATATATTCTTAATGGATAATTATTAATTAAATTATATATGTATATAGATACCCAGTCTATTAGTTACAGTCTTTCACAGACACTAGTGGCTTGATCTTGTATAGTTATTATTTTTCATTTTTATGGTGTGATGCAGTTTGGTCTGTTTGAAAAGAAATCACATATCTGAAATATACTATTCACATAGCGAAAGCTGATATTTCTATTCTGAACTGAAGGGACTGGGCTAGGCGAGAGGCTACTATAAAGAGAGCTGCTAAGGATACGGAGTCTACTCAAGACTGCTAGTTCTGGTTGACATGTCATTGATTTAGCATAGAGAAAAGGTTAATTGATAGGAGCAAAAATCATAACAGCATGAGTATTTTAGTGTCGTTGAAATTAATGGATAAAGCATGTGCTATGTCAAGAAATTAAAGTGTCAACTGTGTGTTCGGTAATTTGTTTGACTTATATTCACAGTTTCCAGAGATCACAGCTATTCTTAGAAATTATGCACACTTTTCTCTATAACAAAATAGCTGATCGTGAATCATTGACTCCAGTGAAACTTTGTGTATTAATACAGCGTATCATAACGGTCTCGACAGTCAACGAAGGAAATACAAACCACCAATCTAATAACAGATGGTTATCCTCCTCAACTTCTAAGTAAAAACATGTAGACTGAATAGTAACTGTCTCTCAACTAAATAGCTCAATATGTTCCAGCTTAGGAAAGACAACACTCTGATCATAAGCAAACCGGACAAAGGCGGAGGGCTAGTTCTAATGAACAAAGCCGATGACATTGATAAAATGAACTTGATTTTGAATGACCCGACGAAATTTCAAAAACTCAACAACGTGAAAGACAAATATGAAAGCAGAGAAATTTCTGACTATGTTATAGTAGATTTACGATAACAAGTCTTGAATTTTGGCGCGAAATTAATGAATTCATTTAACTAAATAGTTTTGGTATCATAGCCAATGTCATTTCGTTATGAAAATCATCAATCCAATTCCTAACTCTAACCATCAAATGTAAATCATAATTCTAATTCCTCACAATGGTTTATAACCCTCATTTAGTCGTAGTATGTAGGTGGACATTCTCAAGGTCTCTTTAGCGTCACTTAAAAGTAGTCCATAAATTATAGTCTCACCGATCACAGTAATAAAGTTTGGAAACATTATATGCCTTACCAGTGAAACATTCATCAGATACGATTGATTCAGAATAAATAATATTTGTACTCTGTTAGAAGTTAAATATGTTGACATATTTTTGAAATTCATATTCTGTTGAGGAAGTTTGATCCCCAGAACGCACTTGGAAAAGGTCTTAGTTATGTAATTTTATTCAGGAAATTTGAATTCGATGTTCTCGCGCCAAGAGATGCTTAATTGATCTACAGCTTACATTTCTCACTCAGAAATCCTTGACTGTCATTCGTTGACGGATTTCTTAGTACACTATTTTGTGGCTCTCCCATGGGCGTTTGTATCATTGTATAAATAAGCTTAATTTGTGTGCATAGTGACGTCGTACTTTCTGGGTGCTTGTAGAATACATTCTCTACGTCTCATTAAGACTTCTTGATCTAATTAGCAGAGCCGGGGGCAACGGATTAGAATAGCCTATCGTGTCACTGTATCTTTGACATTCATTCCGTTTACTGAGTAAGGTGAATTCGCAACAGCATTCAAGCATATCATATTCTAAGATCAAAATATCTACGTCATTGAATGCAAAAACATGTAAAGTTTTACATTCTTCTCATGAGTGTACTTCATGACCGCATCTACCATATGGACATGATTAGATATAAGGCTTTGTGATTTTGTTTGTCTTAAGTGATTTTAATTCTGATAAGTTTCCTGACAATACTCGGACTAAATTAGCGGGTAGAACTTTGGAATTATTTTATGTCAACCACTGTGAATTTTGGGAATATAATTTCATTTTGAATGTATTCTATCAACTTGTAGTCAACTATAACGTTGTTAATCCAAATTTAATGGTTGAATTAATGAGTTGATCTAAGCTAGAACATGGAAGTACTGGACGATCTTTTAGTCCTAGTACGAGACTCCTCAGAATTGCGCATCCACGGTCCTCCACACGGGATACGAACCTAGGATCTTTGAACGTTTAACCTCTAGACAACTGAGCCGGCATCCATCAGTGTTAATGTCTAACTTTGTGGACTAGTTGAAGTTAGACATTAACACCATTGGATATCTGCCAGTTCAGTGTTATAAAACTTAAGTTTTCCAGCGTGAGACCGAAGGTACTGGTTTCGAGTCCCACATGCGAGATCATGGATGCTCACTACTGAGGATTTCTGTACTAGGACGAAACCGCCATCTAGTACTTCCAGGTTTCAACAGTGTTACTGACACTTATCTATTCATGATATCAATCTTAACCTAACGAATTCCACAAGCCTACACTGAAATAAAACATCATTTTCATAATAGTCATCCTTATTAACCAGTCATTATAAGCAGTGATGAATGTTGGCTACCAGTGGAATCTAGAACATATGTCTAGTCAATAAGAAGATTCAAACAACCAATACAAAAAATGATGAAGTCATTCTCATCATTATAAGAATGACAAATACCGTGGTACGGTCGAAAGTGGGGAGAATCAGCTCTCCCTCTCCAAGTCCTCTCACATGGCCACGTGCATATAGCCACTTTCAGGGAAGTCCTGCTCACTGCCCTATCATTGAGAGGGTGTTGTTTAGGGAATTGAGAGGAGTTTTAACCGGGTTTGTGAACACGGAGAGTTCACCTAGGGGAGTTGGAAAACCCTGATTCCAAACCAATGGTGCACATGGGTTGGCTCCAGGATCCTGGGAGAATGAATGGCATATGAAACAATTATTAGTCACTGGCTACTATGGGACTACATCTCCTTACGTCGCTCCACCACATTTTGGATTAGACTTTTAGGTCGAAGGCTCCGTATGTAGCTCCACAAATTGAATGATTTGTGTTGTGCATATCTATTTGGTGCCTCCTTATATCAGTATTTATATGTTGAAATAAATCAATAAAATAAAATCAACAAACATTACCACTTGCAATAAACCAATGAAATTTTATATTTGATTATAGACAACTCTTGTTGCCAATAGAGTATTCATGTTCATGTAAACAATGAATAAAAAAAAACAAAAAAAAGAGAAAAACAATTCATATCGTGATCAGAAAACATGATGAGAAATATATAGTATATGAATTAGATTGAATAATTCCTTGGTTACTATAAGTGTTTTTAATAAAAATGTTGATGGGGGTGGGTGTGAAGGTGGAGGTGGGGTTTGATTCCTTTATTTATTTGTTTGTTTGTTTTTTTTCTTTTTAATTTTCTTTTAATTTTCTATCGTTATGATTTAGTAATTTACTATTTGATTGTATATAATAACTTCGTTTACGATTACGACTAGATCTTATAGTGCATGCACCTTTCCAACACTAGAAATAAAAAGAAAAGAAAAAAAGAATTTAATGGAAGAATTACTGATCTAGAAGGATCTAGAAGAAGATCGTTATATTCCACAATTTCAATCTTCACATAATCATATCACTATCTTAGTTCTAATAGATCTAGAAGAAGATCGTTATATTCCACAATTTCAATCTTCAAATGATCATATCACTATCTTAGTTCTAATAGATCTAGAAGAAGATCGTTATATTCCACAATTTCAATCTTCAAATGATCATATCACTATCTTAGTTCTAATAGATCTAGAAGAAGATCGTTATATTCCACAATTTCAATCTTCAAATGATCATATCATTATCTTAGTTCTAATAGATCTAGAAGAAGATCGTTATATTCCACAATTTCAATCTTCAAATGATCATATCATTATCTTAGATCTAATAGATCTAGAAGAAGATCGTTATATTCCACAATTTCAATCTTCAAATGATCATATCATTATCTTAGTTCTAATAGATCTAGAAGAAGATCGTTATATTCCACAATTTCAATCTTCAAATGATCATATCATTATCTTAGTTCTAATAGATCTAGAAGAAGATCGTTATATTCCACAATTTCAATCTTCAAATGATCATATCATTATCTTAGTTCTAATAGATCTAGAAGAAGATCGTTATATTCCACAATTTCAATCTTCAAATGATCATATCATTATCTTAATTCTAAGAGATCTAGAAGAAGATCGTTATATTCCACAATTTCAATCTTCAAATGATCATATCATTATCTTAGATCTAATAGATCTAGAAGAAGATCGTTATATTCCACAATTTCAATCTTCAAATGATCATATCATTATCTTAGTTCTAATAGATCTAGAAGAAGATCGTTATATTCCACTATTCCACAATTTCAATCTTCAAATGATCATATCACTATCTTAGTTCTAATAGATCTAGAAGAAGATCGTTATATTCCACAATTTCAATCTTCAAATGATCATATCACTATCTTAGTTCTAATAGATCTAGAAGAAGATCGTTATATTCCACAATTTCAATCTTCAAATGATCATATCATTATCTTAGTTCTAATAGATCTAGAAGAAGATCGTTATATTCCACAATTTCAATCTTCAAATAATCATATCATTATCTTGGTTCAAATAAATTTGCAGGATAAATAAACTTCTAGACCACTCAGCCAGTATCCAGTTCTGTTAATGCCTAACTTCAATCAATTCACAACATTTCAAGACTATCTTATATTGTCTTTGGAGTGTAAATGCAATACACTAAACACAGATTAACTTCACTGGTCACGTCTTCCAACTAGAACACTGTTAATTTCTTCTCGACTGTAGTCACATTTGAGTACATGGTAATTGACAATATAGGGATTGTGGAGATTTCAATGATGATCTAACTTAGTTCTGTTAATGATCTTCATAATCCTATACTGAAAATAATACTATTTAAGAATATATATATAACCATAATCATTAGTAGTCTTTTTTATGCCTGTTACTCCTAATGAAGAATAGGCTGCCGACCAGCATTCCCCAACCCATTCTGTCCTGGGCCTTCTTTTCTAGTTTCATCCACTTCTTGTTCATTTCTCTCATGTCTATCTCCATTTCCCGGCGTAATGTGTTCTTTGGTCTTCCTCTTTTCCTTTGGCCTTGAGGATTCCTCCTAGAATCCTTCCGAAGGCTACTGCCTGTCCCAAGCCCGGATAAAGGAGAAGGGTTGGACATGGGGTTAGCGATCCCATCCCGTAGAAAACTAACTCGCTAAAAAAACGCTAACCAGAAAAAAATTATTCAAACCTTCTAAACTCTGCCCTGGGAGTCAGAAGGTCTTCATTTAGAAGAGTTATAACACCGCATGATGAAAGCCGAGTTCCATTAGTAGTCTACTAGACTACAATTTATAGACGAACCAATTAGATTTAGAATAATAAGTCTTGGATATTGGCGCGAAATTCATTCATCCATTTGATTAAAGAAGATTTTGGGGTTTTAAGTGATATTAGTTTGTAATGAAAACCCTAAATCTAATTCCTAACTGTAATCATCAATTGTAAATCATAATCCTTATACTTCAAACTGTTTTATAATCCACATTTAACTCTAGTTAATTGGTGATTATTCTTAAGGCCGCTTTAACATAAGTCAAAGGTCCTTCATAAATGATAGTCTTATCATATGTTAAGCACAATCATGCTTTACAGAAAGATAGAATGACACTTGCTAATATTGTGGTGTTTAAATCATATTCATTCGAATCTATGTTCACATTTATGGATTATTTGAGATCAAATTTATGTTATCAGTATGGGGACTTGTAGAGATTGTACTATTTTCACAGCTGAATTCACGAATCTATCTAAACTAGACCACCAATGAAAACCCGGATGTACTGAACGGCCGTTTCGTTTAAGTTAATACCAGTGGATGCCAGTCAGCTTAGTGGTCTAGAGGTTAAGCTTTCGCATACAAAGTCGAAGGTCTTAGGTTTGTATCTCGAGTGGAGGATCGTGGATGAACACTTCCTGGAGAGTTCTGCACTATGATGAAACGACCTTCTAATGCTTTTAGTTTATTCATGATGGTCTAACTTAGTTTGACTCATCAATTCAACTATATAAATAAAATGTTATCTTGATGTTTCATAATATTTCGATAACATTTTTTATCCTTTATAAGTAAGATAATTTTTATTGATTTTATGTTTGTATATTTTTATAATACGAACCCAACTTAGTCTAAATCAATCAATCAATCAATCAATCGACAACAGCAACAACAACAATTGATTTCATCCCCAAAAATCGAATTCCACCTGGAGCTCATCTGAATCTACTGCCGGTTCTAAGCTTAGATAAAGGAGAAGGGTTGGGTATGAAGTTATATATATAATATATATATATATATTATATATAATATACCCTTGTGGGCCAGGGTAATTTTACATTGGTTTTCAGGAGAACTAGACACCATCCGGACTTTCACGTAAAAACCCAAACAGTGCAGCTCAACCCCGTTTAGCAGAGGAACCAGACACCGTACAGGCCTTAACGCTACAATCTGAATGGTACAGCTCAATCCTGTGGCGCAACCACACAAGTACCAAGAACCCTGGTGGACCATTCGCACCATTCATATACACACTCACATCACATGTATAGTTATTCCGATCAATGATCACGTGATTCAATTATGCACAGCACGAACAGGCCAAAGTTGACCCATTCCGCTTACACGACAGTCAAACTCGTTAATATTAGCAATGGCGGCATGCCTTACAATGTCCCAATGACAATGGCCCTCGGGAACATTGAAAAGCAACCACCAGTATGAATGAAATCGGTTAACCAGCAAACCAATTTTTGCATGAACAGTCAGCAAAACTTGCCAAAGCAATGCTGAACCGTCCACAATAACAATGGCGAACCTCCAGCCTCATATGAGACCTTCAGCTCTATATATAGCTAATGTATGAAGTTAGCAACCCTATTCTGTAGAACTTCTTTAACCGACTAAAAATCACAAATAACATACATAGTCAATTGATCTATGATCATTCTATGAATATTATTTTGTTTATTTAATTGAACACATAAATATTGGGTATAAGGAGGTACCGCATATATATGCGCCACACAAATCTCATTTGATATGTATAAGGGCTATGATACTGCCCTGAGTGTTCAAACCGAAACAAGTATCAACTTGTATCAATTCAAAAAGGTACTGACATTCAAAACACATTGATTTAACTTACCGCCAATTTTCTTGTATAACGTCTTACACGTGATAGAAATACAGTATTCTTTGTAATATGCAATGTTTGTCTTGATTTAAATGAATGAGTTAACATTAAATACTTTTTACCAATTATAATTTCATCTATACAAATACATTGTAATGGCCATGAATAAGTTAAGATCATTTTTTCATCATATGGATGTATATCTGAATCAAATGTTTTTAATATATGAAAACGAAATAATGGTTGATAATGATCATTTTTACCAAACCACCATAATGTACCAGATATACGTATTATAGCAGCTAAAATTAATGAATATACAAAGATAGAAATAGAATAAGTTATGTTATTAAGAATGAAATATAAATTGTAATAGTTGAAGTTAAATCATCATGGAAAACCTGGAAGTATTGAATGGTTGTTTTGTCCTATTATGAGACTCCTCCTTGGTAGTGTGCGTATCCAAAATCCCGCCTCGCGGGATTCGGACCCAGATCCTATCGATCTCGCGTGCAAATGCTTAACCTCTAAACTACTGAGCTGACTGGAACCCAACGGTGTTAATGTTTAACCTAAACCAATCCGTGAAACTGAGCGACCATCTTTCATTGTACTGTGGTAGATACCTGTCTCTACCCAACATGAATTAGCACCACTGGTCACGGCTTCTCGTTAGAACTTCAAAAATTCCCTCACGAATCTAGTCACTGGTGAACACACGGTAATTATCAGTATAGGGTTGTGAAGATGCGCACTGATGAGGAGTCCTACAATAGGACGAATCCGAGCGTCCAGTGATTTCAGGTTTTCAATGGTAGTCTAACATCGATCAGTTCATGATCTCAATCAATAAATTTTAATAGTTGAATTCATGAGTCGAATGAAGTTAGATCACCATGGAAGACCTCGAAGTACTGGATGGCCTTTTTGTCCTATTGTGATACTCCTCATTAGTGCGTATTCAAAATCCCGCCTCGCGAGATTCGGAAACAGGACCTATCGGTCTCGTGTGCAAATGCTTAACCTCTGGACCACTGAGATGCCTGGCATCCAATAGTGTTAATTTTCAACTTCAACTAATCCACGAAATCAAGCGCACGAGACTGATAGGTCCTGGGATCGAATAACGCTAAGTGGAATCGTGGATGAGCACTGACAAGGAGGAGTTCCATACTAGGATGAAACGGCCATCCGGTGCCACCAGGTTTTCCATGTTGGTCTAGCTTCAACTGACTCATGAATTCAACTATTAAAATTACTATACTATCTAGAAAACCCCTCTCTGAATGAAATATAAATTGAAAATGATAAAAAAGTTGTTCTATACAACCATTTAAACTGATAAATGTGACTTTCATTCAGTGTTTTTTTTCTAAAAAAAGAAACAGTCTCTTAAGAAAGTTTCTCATACTTCACTTCTATAAATATTCTCATTGAACGATAGATTCGGTTTCCTAAGCACTTCTGGTAACCTCCAGGTTAAATGTACACAGCAACTTGAACACAAGAGAAAATTCTCGAAATATAATAGTCAGTCAGTCAGCTACAACGTAGGACCAGGCACATATGTGCATCGGTCCAGGTTGCCATACCTCATTAGCACAGCAAGATGAACACCGGATTCATAGCAGTGGTTAGGTCAAAGGTTGCAATAAGGATATAGTATAGGAAGAAAGAATTAGTTCGTAGACAGAAAGAATCAAGTGATTTTAGTCTCTTAGTTTAAGGGAAGACAGGGAGTGTATACACCGACGCCATTGTGATCGATTCCGAGCCATGTCCCCAAGAGTCTCCAACCATTGGTTACGAAAGTCACGCGGACCCCAACCAAGTAGTCTGCATCTACCAACATGGCTCAGACTAGAAGTTAGTGACTTCAGGCACTGATGCCACGTTTTGGTTTGGCCGCCCCTAACCTTCTTCCAACCATCTCCAACACCGGTTAGCATTGCACGTCGTGGTAATCGGTGTTCAGGCATACGTAATACGTGGCCTAACCATCTCAGTCGATGAAGATTCACAACCTCATCAACTGATTTACCATCATTCCCTAATACCCTGCGTCTAACCTCGCTATTACTTATCCGGTGATCCCAGCAGATGCCAGCAATATTTCTAAGGCATCTGTGGTCAAATACTAGTAGCTTACGGGTGTCTTCTACTCTTAAGGGCCATGTTTCGCTGCCGTAAATTAAAACAGAACGAACTGCCGCGCAGTATACTCGTCCTTTTATTGATAGACGGATATCTCGCCTTCGCCAAAGGTGACGCAAGTTGGCAAAAGCCAAACGAGCTTTTCGAATCTGCGCTGAGATTTCGTCCGATACCAACCCATTAGGGCTGATCAGACTTCCAAGATAAGTGAAGTTGTCAACGCGTTCGACTACTTCACTCCCTATCCTTAGTTCAGGTGTTGACGCAGACCAGTCCTGAAGCAACAACTTGCATTTAGAGGGAGAGAAGCGCATTCCAAACATTCTGGCATTGTTGCTTAGTGCTACCAGAAGACTCTGCATTTTGTCAGCGTCTTCACCTAACAGGACTATGTCATCTGCGTATTCTAAGTCGATAAGTGGACCTCCTGGAAGGAGATCAATACCCGAGAATTCAGTCGGCGAGAGTGTTATTTCCATCAATAGGTCTATGATGATGTTAAACAAAAACGGAGAAAGTGGACAGCCTTGTTGGACACCACTTGAGGTTGTGAAAGCAGATGACAGTTCGCCATAAGCCCTGACTCGACTAGTAGTGTTCGAGTAAAGAGCCTTCACAAGGTTTATGTACTTCTGAGGTAGACCTTTCAATGACAAACACTGCCACAGAATCTCGCGGTCTGCGGAGTCAAATGCTGCTTTTAAGGCAAGAAAGACCACCATCGTCGGACGCCGATAGGTATGCCTGTGTTCTAGAACCTGACGAATGGTGAACATGTGGTCGATGCAGCCACGACCAGGTCTGAAGCCAGCTTGGTTCTCTCGAGTTTGTAGTTCACGAGTCTTAGTTAGGCGTTTGATAATTATCGAGGCCAGTATTTTAGATACTATGTTTGTTAAACTAATCCCTCTGTGGTTGTCACAGGATGATTTTGACCCTTTCTTATATATTGGGACGATAAGTGATTGCGACCAGTCAGATGGGATAAAGTCTAATTCCCAGATCTTAGCTAAAATATTAGTCAACTTAATCGCTAAAATTGGACCACCATCCTTAAAGACCTCTGGAGTCAATCCATCTGGACCAGCTGCCCTTCCTCGTTTCAGATTAACTATAGCCTTTTGAACTTCAGCAAGAGTAGGGGGACCTATTTCAACGTTCCATTCACACTGTCTGGGAATGGAGGGTAGTTGTAGAGTAGCTGAAGGCCAGCTGAACTGTTCTCTAAAATGTTCCGCCCATCGTTCTAAACGTCTGGACTGGGAGCAGATGAGAGTATCATCTTTTTCCGAAATAATCTCACTTACACTTGACTTATTAATTCCAGTTTCTTTTATTAGTCTGTAAAGCTGTCTTGTGTTCCCTATAGTCGCCGCCTTTTCCATCTCTTTTGCTTTCGTTACCCACCACTGCTCACGGTCGTTCTTTAGACTTTTTCTTAACCTAGATCTGATTTGTTTTCGCTCTTCATCATGTTCAGAACCTGATGGGACGAGTTTGCGAGAATCCATCAGTGTGACAGACCTTGAAGAAATCCACTGGTTCCTTGCAACTCTGTGGTTTAAGTCACTAATAGATGTCACTGCTGTTTCCACAGCTGATTGTATGCCCTTCCAAGCAACATCTGGGTCAGCCTCGTCTTCACAACTACCTAAGTGTGACCTCAGTTGTTCCTGGAACCTACTTTTGGTTTTCTCGTTACCCAAATCAGTTCTAACGGGTCTTTTTAATGTGGCTTTTTTGTGTCCAGTGAGGCGCAAGCAGATGCATGCCCGTATTAGGGCATGGTCGGAGTCCAAGCAGGTACTCCAGAATGAGCGACAATCTTCTACCGACCCTCTCCAACGATGACTGATGGCAATATGGTCTATTTGAGTCCATCGTTGGTTTGGTGTAGAGGGTCGCCATGTTAGACGATGTCTCTCCTTATGCTTAAAATTTGTGTTTGCTAAAAATAAACGATTGTCTGAGCATAGCTGCAGCAGACGATCACCATTATCTGTTCGCTGTGTCGGAATACTAAAATATCCACCTAAATACCTTTCTGTTTGGTTTAAACTGCCTATCTGAGCATTAAAATCACCTGCTACGAGTACTATGTCTGAGCGTTTAGCTTTCTGAAGAAGTTCGGACAGCTTTCTGTAAAATTCATCTTTCACATCATCTGAGCTGCAGTCAGTGGGAGCGTAGGCAGAAACGACAAAAAGGCAACGACGTGTGTCCCTATCCTTCCGAGTTCTTACGTAGCCGTTCAGCCGAACAGCACATAGACGACTGTTGACGGGGATCCACTCTAGCAGTGCTTGTTCCGCCCTCATGCTTAGTGCTATGCCTACACCTGCCAGTCCACGAGAACTTGCCATCGGGTCACCAGATACACGAAGGGTGTACCTCGTTGGCTCTCCGTTTTGCCGAGGTGAGGTCAAGTGAATGACCACACTGGAATCCTGTATGCGTGTTTCGGAGACACAGCACACGTCAATGGTAAGAGACTCTAGGGTTTTAGCCAAAGAAGCCTGCTGACCAATTTGACATAGAGTGCGTACGTTGAAGGCTCCAATGTGTAGTTTGGAGCGAGGTTTCAGTAGACCTGGGACAGTATTTTGCGCACTAGAATCGTTGGCTATGGTGACACTTGAGGTGGAAGCCGAGAGAGGAAATTTAAAGTTGAAAGTCGATGTAGGAGGAATAATAGGAATTGAAGAGGAAGGTTGATTATGAATACAGTGGTCTTGAGTGCTGTTAGAGGTATGAGGGCGGTTTTCACTTCCCGGTTGCCCACACCGTGGAAGGGTTGTTCTGGAGGTACCTGAAAAGGAATTTGGATTAAAGGTGGTCTTAGTGACCTGAGAGCGTGACCGCAGTGCTCAAGGGACAACTGCTTGAGGTCGGTCACACGCGACCTTTTTATGGGTAATTTTTGTGTTAGCTCCGTACTTATTGGGACCTTACCGCCGGAGACGGATATCCGTGGGATAAGGCGAGGTGTGCATTTTTAGGGTCGACAATTTCTAACCCCACCCCTCCTTGTGGGAAGGCGGCATCGCTGTCATGCTGGTTGTCTGAAGGAAACACCTTACTGCTGTCACACCTCTGTATAGTCAGCAGTACGACTTCGCCTTCGGACCTTGGGTTTGTTGCTTTTAGTCTTACCGCTCTTCAACCGACCTGTCTGACATGGTAGGACCTTGAGGAACGGTTGTTCCAGCCAGTATAGCTCGGTTGCTTCATCACGATAGGCAAGCCCGACCACCACGTCAAGGTAGCAACAACGGTCGAGCGAAATATAATAAAAAAAAAAATAAAAAAAAAATATAATAAAAAAACACTTTAGTCGAAAGGTTCGTATTTATATCATTTTAGATGGTTCTGGGCTTTCGGAAGCTTCTGGAACGTTAGTAGCAGTATAGGCAATCATCCAATCTGAGATACGACATATGACTTTGCATTCATTCATTTGGGTAAATGGAGTTTTCACATTATAGCTAGATGTCAGTCCGTGGTGAACCCCCCCCCCCAAATCTAATTCCTAAGCCTAATCATCGACTGTAAATTATAATTCTCTTTCCTTACACAGGTTTATAACCCTCCTTTAGTCCCAGTTATTAGGTGGATAGGGGAGACTCTAATTTAGGGACGACCTTTCAACGAATCTTAAGTGACCTTGACAATTATTAGCCAATCAGGAGACAGTTAGAATAAAGTGAGGATATATTGTAAGTAAGTAATGAATTACTGTGAATATTCTTCTTTTACATGATTTAAAAACTTGTTAAGGTTTGATAAAGGTTCAGAGGTTCTGAATTCATAACGCATATGGTATAGAAACTCGTCCATAGGGTTAGGGTTAGGTTAGGGTTTAGGGTTAGGGTTTAGGGTTAAGGTTAGGGTTAGTGTGCTAAGAGTTAGGGTTAGGGTTAGGTTAGGGTTTAGGGTTAGGGTTAAGTTTAGGGTTAGGGTGCTAACATGAGATCGGTTTACAACCGATGTTAGAGGTTAGGGTTAGGGTTGTAGCCTGTCAATAAACACCACTTCTCTAAAACCCGATGTAGACCGATCTCATGTTAGCAGCCTGGCCCTAACCCTAACCCTATGCACGAGTTTCTATGCCGTATGCATTATGAATTCAGAACTTCTGAGCTTTTATCAAATCTTAACAAGTTTTTTAATCATGTAAAAGAAGAATATCCACTGTAATTCATTACTTTCCTGTAATATATTTTTACTTTATACTGTCTTCTGATAGGCTTATAATTGAAATTGCTCAAACGCCTCTTACTGGCTCGTCCCTAAATTAGAGTCTCGCCGTCCCATATGTTGTAACCTCTCATTAATCACCTCCTCTCTAAAATCCGCTGTGAACCGATCGTATGTTAGCATCTCGTGTTGAACTTGGCTCCGTGACCTTGAAATTGTTCAAACGCTTCTGATTGGCTCGTCCCTTAATTAGAGTCTCGCCGGTGGTGTTGCTCAAAGGTCATCCATAAATTATAGTCTCACCACAAGAACATATCTCAAAAAGTCTTATGAAGGTTATGAAGATTAAAGGATTTTAACAATGCTATTGCAAAACACCTCTGTGACACAGGGCATGAAGTAAATAGATTGAAATATTTCAGCACCTTCATACAACAGTCACACTCCGTTCTTCTCAAATTCACCCAAGCTATAGATATTAATCGACTATTGTAATGTTACCTTTGAAGGACGTCTTAATGACCTTCAGAATATCCACCTTCTTACTAGAGCTAAATAAGGGTTATAAACCAATGTGAAGAATTCGAATTAGGAGTTACAATTGATGATTAGGGTTGAGAATTAAATTTATTATTTTTTCGTTACGAACTGATATCTAGTTATAATGCCAAAACTGTATTTACCTAAATGGATAAATGAATTTAGCGCCAAAATCCAAAACCTGTTATTTTATACGTGATTGATTCGTTCAGAAATTATAGTCTCACCGTTCTTGGAATCGAACGTAGGTCCTTCTTTTTTCTCTATTAATGTAACTACTTTAAGAGGTACATGTGAATTTGTATACTCAGTTGGGAGTAACATGAAAAGGTTACTTATAGACCTTTAACTGGAGTGAAGAATTTTACAAAATAAAATGAATATACGTCATCCTTATCAATTCGTTGTTCTTACCCTCTTCAAGAATCTATGAGGTCACTGTACTACCTGTAAATTAATTTTTTTGAGAAAATAAAAGAAATAGATAGATCTTAGTAAGTGTGAGATCTATAGAGGCATCACATTACTATCATTACCGCTAAAGGTTTTCAAACACACTCAGTAGACACCTAACTTGGAGACTGATGGGCTGAATTTCGTAAGGACTGACTATCTACCAACCAAATACCAACACTAGCGATCATTACTTACCGGTTGAGTAGTTAGAACTCATCACTATACATCAAATTTATTAGCTACGAGAAATCATTTAACAGTGAGGATAAAAAAACCTTATAAAACATTCTTTGACACTATGATCTATGTCAGAAGGTGGTTGCCATCATATGAAATCCTCACGACAGACATCATTGCAAAGTCATGCATGCAGAGCACTTCACAAATCCATCCCCAGTGAAGATCAGTGTCAGATAAAGCTACTGACTCCCAACTTTTTTCTACGGCCTGATAGCTGACTGGATTCTGAAAACCTCCATATCTCAGGGGAAGCACAGAATACAATGGATATATTGGATACAAACCAGACGACTTTAATCTCGTAAACGATCTTACCCTTTTATCCCCACACACAGAAATAAGTTTCAAACATAGTTCATGAATAACAGAAAGTGTAATTCATAGTATAGGTATAATTGGAATCAATAATTATAAAGATGAATAGTTTAATTAAATATTAAACTTACACACAGTAAAATTAGATTTAATCCATTTACTTCTTGTATATAATGTAGGAAACATTTCATTACATATTTCAGGGATATCTTTTGGACAGCCAAGATTTACTTTAAATTAAGAAAAAGAATAATAATAATGATATAGAATGTTGAAGATAACATATCGATTAAATAGTTGAAATCATGAGTCAATTAAAGCTCGACAACCATGGAAAACCTGAATGCACTGAACGACCATTTCGTCCTATTGTGCGACTCCTCGGCAATGCTCATCCATGATCCCGCCCCCCCCAACGAGATTTGAACCCAGGACCTATCAGTCTCGCGCGCCAGCACTTAACCATTAGACCATCGATTAAAACCGAAAGTTTTCCAAAAAACAAAACATTCATACAAGAATCAATGCAATAAACTTTTAATGATTTAATTTGTGAATGGATTTCTTAAAATATTGATTGAATAACATTATAAGATCACGATCTGTGAATCGCATCACTGGAATTCTTGAATTTTGTAGTTAACTTATGCATTACAAGTATGTTTATTACTAATGGGTTTATTATTAGTATTGCCCTTAAATGCTCTAATGTGGCACATAGTGAGGAGAGTCAGCTCTCCTTCTCCAAGCGCTCTCATATGGCCACGTGCATACAATCACTGTCAGGGAAGTCCTACTCACTGCCTTCTCTTGACGGGGGTGTTGTTTATGCCCGGCGCTTTAACCGGGTCGGTGAACACGGAGAGTTCACCTAAGGAAGTTGGAAAACACTGATTCCAAACCAATGATGCACATGGGCTGGCTCCTGGATCCTGAGGGAACAAATGGGGTATCAACCTATTGTTGTTCACCGGCTACCATGGGATTGAATTTCTTGAAGTTGCTCTACTGTCTTGTAGATTAGACCTGTAGGTCAAAGGCTGGAAGAGTGATCCCCTAAGAAAACCATTTGTTTCAGTTTGAACATCTGAGTAGTATTCTAGCCGTCACACGAACTGAATAATTTATATGGTGCATACATAATCGGTGCCTCCGTGTACCATTGTTCTCACTTGAAATTATATTAATCTTAATCAAATGCAGAAAATACTTCAATCTGTCTCATAGTAATCAATCATTCTAATAATTCCATTTGTACTTCAAATACAGAGTGCTTAAGGTTAATACAGACAGGAAAATGGTTGTCTGAAGAAGTATCGACAATATCAATTGATGTATACAGTTGAATTGGATGTTATGGCTATATGACAGTATGAATGCACACTATTTTCAGACTTTCAATGCCTATCATTACTCACCATAGAAATATGAGTGCTTAAGATGATTTCTTATTGAATATGAAATGCTATTACATCTGTTCCTGATTCACAGGAAGAAGTAAATTACACTCATTTTGAGAAACATCTTGTTTTTTGTTAGATACAAATACGGTCATAAATGGTTGTGTAGTGGTAAATAAATTCCCAAAATCAATAGATCTGTAAGTCTTCGACATTTGATACCGACCACATTAGTTTCAATGGACTCACCTAGCTGATGTTGCTCGGTCATGCATCCGCATCAGGTCACGAGTGGGAACGCCATGCTCAACTTCCCCTGAAATCGCTAGCTAGTCTAGATCAGTTGATCCTCGATATATTGATAGCTTATCAAATATATCTTCGAACCTCCTTGCTTCTGACTTTTGGTTTCACTTGGTGGGTACGATTCATAGTAGAAGGTGTTACTGGTTAAAGCGTTGTCAAACTCCAAATACCTGTGGCATCTTCAGTTGATTTAAGTTAGACCACCATGGAAAACCTGGAAGTATTGGACGGCCGTTTTGTCCTAGTACAAAACTCCTTAAGAGTTCGCATCCATGATCCCACAACAGAAGGGACTCGAACCCATGGCTTTTGATCTGACGCGCGAACGCCTAAGCTCCAAACCACCGAACCGACATTCTATAGTGTTAATGTCTAACTTCAACCAATCCGCGATAGTGCGCGACAATCCACGATTGTCTTTAGTGAGTAGCTGCCTCACAACAGACACGGTTTGACTCCACTGGTCACGTCTAATTAATAAAATTCCAGAAAATGCATCTTGAAGCCAGTCACTAGTCATTGTCAGAATGAGGGTTTGTGAAAATTGTAATAATTTAATGGTTAAATTTATAAATTGATTTAAGCTAGACCAATCTGAATAACCTGGAAGTAATAGACGGCACACTGTTGATTAATTCCATACTAGGATGAAACGACCGTCCACTGTTCCCAGTTTATCCAATATTGGTCTAGTTTAAAACGACTCATGAATTCAACTATTGAATTGCTACAACTACCACAAACCTATAAATATGAAATGATTTTTATTTAATGCTTCAATTTACTAAAACTACATCGTGTAATCTTATCATTTAGATTGTATTAGGTCAATGAAGATGGTAGTTTAATAATGGAGAATCTTATTTATCCAACTAAACAATAGTTACTATTAATGATAATCATCTCAATTGTACACATAAATCTAATACATGAAACTAGAAATAAACAACACTGAACACAACACATGATGACCTATAATAAATAATAAAGAAACAAGTACTGATATACTTTCTCTGATGAAATAACCAAGTAATTTTATTGTTTTACAAAAGGTCATAAGTCTAATCAAAAAGGTCATATTGGTTAAGAAAAAAAAACAAAATAGTAAGTTAAAATGGTGTTTGGAGGTAGTCAACAGGTAACTCTGGATCTGGGTTTCGTGCTATTTGGTACTCGTCAGCAAGATGTAGGACTTGACACACATAAAATTGATCACTATTCAAATAGCACGAAACCCGGATCCAGGGTTTCCTGTTGACTACTTCCAACCACCATCTTATCTCAATATAGTGCACGTTATGTCGAGTCACCTAGACTAGTGGCCACATTACAAGTTGGTCGATAGCATTCGATCTACATTAAGAAGGACTTGACACACATGACATTGATCACCGCCCAGTGATCAATCAATTGTGACGGATGGTAAGTCAATGTATGACTTGCTTTTCTTTTGGAATAAATACAAGGTTTCATGAAGACATCATATCAAAGGAAAGTGTACTATGAGCTGAATAATTAAACGATCCCATCTATCTAGTAGATCTAGACTATTTGGTTGAGGTTTATACGATAATTTTGATCTATGGCTAAAAACGTTGAGTAGTTCAATATTGGTCATAGTAGCTAGGAGCGGCCAGAACAAAACATGGCACAAATCCATGAAGTCACTGACAAGTAAACTGAGCCGTGTTAGTATGTGTAAAGTACCTGATAGAGATCCGCGAGATAAAAGCAACCGATGGTTAGAGACCTTGAATGTGACATGGCTCAAAATCGTTTGCAATGGTGCAGGTGCATCCACTCTTTGTGTTTGCCCAAATTCTAATCTTCTGAATTCTTCATGTAGCTTTGTTTTTCTCTTTCCAAATTTATTTCACTAGATTATATTCCTTGAATAACATCTTCAAGCCTTAATCTTTCCGATTACTGCTTATACTTTTGCTACTTCTACCACTGTGGGATTTGAATCGACAATTGTATCTGTGTGCTAATGTGGTATGGCAAGTTGAACCGATGTACGAACCTACATACGAAAATCTACGTTGTTGCTGACTGACTGACTGAAATGAGATGATTCCACATATCTCTTTATGATTCGAGTCTCACTATCACATCATATCATAAGTGGCCTTGAGAATGTCCACCTACTGACTAGGGCTAAATGGGGATTTTAAATTTGTGTAAAGGATGTGGATTGTGGTCTACAGTTGATGATTAGGGTTAAAAATTAGGTTTGGGAAGTTTTCATCAGAGACTAACATCAATTAAAATCCCAAAACTGTCTTTAATGAATTGGATGAATGAATTTCGTGCCAAAACTCAAGACCTGTTTTTCTAAACCTGATTAGTTCGTCCATAAATTACAGTTTGACCGTAATAACTTGTATATATGTCCAAGGTTCTGTACAGATTATCACTGACTAATATACCACAAAACTCAATAATATAACTTTATACTTCATTTTATTGATCAAGATTAACTGGAATACTTTCTATAAACAATGAGATCAATAGGTCGTTGGTTCGAATCCAGAGAAGCGGGATTGTGGATATGCACTGATAAGGAGTCTCACAATAGGACGAAACAGTCTGTCGATTCTTCCAGATTTTCACTGGTGGTCTAGCTTCAATTAACTCATGATCTTAACTGTTAAAAAAGTAATTCAATATTCTCTACTTAATCCAATCTATTAATTTATTATTAACTATTATAAATAAAGCCATCATCCAAAAGATACAAGTGTTTATTAACAGTTGTCTACGCAAAATACTTCGGATCCGTTGGCCAGACACTATTAGCAACAACCAACTGTGGGAGAGAACACACCAAATCCCAGTGGAGGAAGAAATCAGGAAGAAGCGCTGGGAGTGGATAGGACACACATTGAGGAAAGCACCCAACTGCGTCACAAGACAAGCCCTCACATGGAATCCTCAAGGCCAAAGGAAAAGAGGAAGACTAAATAACACATTACGCCGGGAATTGGAGATAGACATGAGAAAAATGAACAAGGATTGGATGGAACTAGAAAAGAAGGCCGAAGACAGAGTGGGTTGAAGAACTCTAGTCGGCGGCCTATGCTCCATTGGGGGTGACAGGCAGTGAGTAAGTAAGTAAGTAAATAGGTAAGTAAGTAAGTAAGTAAGTAGGTAAGTATGTAACTATTATAAATAAACAAAATAACTGAAATCGATTGTAAATAGTCTGGTATTTCTTCAATAACTTTAAATAATGTAAATATCTAAAATGAAACAGTTAACCTTTATTAGAATTGTATTCGTTTAATATTAATTACATAATTCACTATTTTCTTATTTATTATTTAATGCCTACTACCGTGGGTTGTATGAATATTTGGGTTACTTGTTACTATAATTTACATATTTCACCAAGTTATCTGTTTCATTGCTTGTTTGTTTTAACACATCACTGGACGGCTGTTTCGTCCTAGTACAGAACTCCCCAACAGTGCACATCCGTGATCCCGCTCGCGGGATTCGAACCCAGGGCCTTTGGTCTCGCACACGAACGCCTAACCTCTATACCACTGAGATGGCCGACATCCAACGGTTTTAATGTTTAACGTCAATCAATCCACGAAATTGCGCGACCGTCTTCCATTGTCTGAGGTATATACCTATCTCTAACCGACACAGATTAGCTCCACCCATCACTTGAAATAGCAGATCGTGGATGCGCACTGCTGAGGAGTCCCACAATAGGACGAGACGGCCGTCCGATGCTTCTGGGTTTTCAATAGTGGTCTTACATCAATGAGTTCGTGATTTGAATCAAATACAAAATGAATTTATATTAAACCTTATTTAATTATGTATGACAAAATAAAGTTGACTGCTATATACTACTGATATAAAATCCCATTATACATAAAATACAGATTGAAATAAAGATCAATATGAATTTCATTCATAACTCTAGTAGAGCTACAGGCTGAAAAACTGTCAACCAATACCAATGTCAAAATAGTCCTACTGTACAGAGCTGAAACTTGGAGAACTACTACAACCATCATCAAGATGGTACAAATATTTATAAATAATTGTCTACTCAAGATACTCAACATCCATTGGCCGGATACAATCGGCAACAATCTACTGTAAGAGAGAACAAACCAGCTTCCAGTTGAAGAGGAAATTAGAAAAAGACCTTGGAAATGGATAGAACATACATTACGAAAATCATCAAACTGCATTACAAGATAAGCCCTAACATGGAATCCTGAAGGGAATGCGGAAAAGAGGAAGTCCAAAGAACACATTACATTAGGAAATAGAAATCAAATATGAAATGAATGAATAACAATTGGAAAGAGCTGGAAAGTTTTACCCAAGACAGGGTTGGATGGAGAATGCTGGTAGGTGGCCTATGTTTCTCTCCGAGGAGTAACAGGCGTAAATAAGTAAGTAAGTAAGTACTAACAGATCAATAAATGTGTAATCTTATAATGAATGAAATTCTTTTCACATTATATATAAACAATACAATTACATTAACCTAAGCATTAAGGTATTCTAACAAGTTGTATATATATGTATATACATAGGCATGAAGTAATTCTATTCATTATGTAATTTGATGAAATATGAAAATTGTTTGTCTGTACATGACCTTGGTTTTTATTTTCTCTTCAGAGGATTTAATAGTTACATAGATACTAAAAAGAAAAGTCATAAATTGATAATCAGTCATAATTTTTTATAATCATAGTAAGTGATATTCACTTGGTGTTGTTTCACTTGTATCTTCCCATTGTTATTTACGACTGTCATTGATCAGTCTCCCACTCTCTGTGTGTGTGTGTGTGCGAACTGTCGCGATATTGTCTGAAGTTATGAGCTTTATGAGCAAAGATGGTTAGGGAGTGGTCAGCTGGATGTACCTGCATCCCAGAGTTGATATTCACTCTGAGACTCGAACTCAGTACTGTTTGCTTCAAACAATATCGTGTTATCTATTTAGCTATTAAGTCCTGATATTCATTTGCTTGTGCAATGGGGTGAAGTTTAAATTCACTTGGTGTTGTTTTACTTGTATCTTCGCATTGTTATTTATGACTGTAATTGATCAGTTTCCCTCTCTCTCTCTCTCTGTGCAAACTTTCTCGATATTGTTTGAAGTTATAAGCTTTATAAGTAAAGATGGGTAGGGGTTAGCAGTGAAATTCAGTTTGACGCGTATTTCGTCTTATTTAGGACTCGTCAACTGGATATACCTATATGTTAGAGTTGATATTCACTCTAAGACTCGAACTCAGTATCGTTTTATCTACTTAACTATTAAGTCTTGATATCCACTTGCTTGTGTGCATCCTATGTGGACTGTCTCGATATTGTCTTAGATCACAATCTTTATAAGCAAAGATGGATAGTAGCTTACAGTGGTATCCAGGATGCTTGACATTTCATCCTATTTAGGATTCGTCAAATACATGTACCTATATCTCAGAATTGATATTCACTCTAGCATTCGAACCGAATATCGTTCACTTCAAACACCATCATATTATCCATCTATCCTACTGAAACTTGATAGTCACTTGCTTATATCAGTTATACTACTTAAAATACTTATTTCGAGCTTCATTCCTTCCTTATTATTTTATCATAATGATAACTTGGAGGGGGGGGGAGAAACTAGTTAACTTACATTTTAAATATTCTTTATAATTAGACGCTTTTAAACGTTGTAAATTCGTTGAAGGATCTATCCAATTGTCACAACCTCCTGGTGGTAATAATAAACAATCCTCTTTGGTTAATACTAATTTACGTTGTGTTGGAGTAAATGGTATATGTAAATTTTTTAAATGATAATGATTAAAATATTCCATTGATTGTTTTGATTGTTCTGAATAATATTGATTATCATTAGTATTTATATTGATTTGACGAGGATAACGATGATTATTTTGATGATAGTTTGATTTCATTTGATCATATTCATAATGATCATCTAGTAGGAATGATTTAGATGATAGATAAGTTCTATAATTAGGATATTTAGTATATTGTTTAGAATTAGGCATATGATAATAAGTAGTATAACTTGTGGTGGATTGTATTGGAGATAGAGTTGTTTGATAATGATTATTATTATTATTATTATTATCATATATCCATCTTTTATGAGATGTTTGAATTTGATTATTATTTGGACAACTAGATGGAATATTCATGAAGAATGATTGAGGAGTCTTATGTAATTGTCCACATATAGAAAGAAGAGATAGACATGAGGATTGACATGGAATATCATGAATCTACAAGATATTAGAGAACAACAACAACAACAACAAAAAAGTGAAAAGATAGTAGCTGATTATTTTCATAACTGAATTATAGTTCAACAGTTGAGAACATGAGTCAATTGAAGCTAGACTACCAAGGAGAACCTGGAAGTACTGAACAGTCGTCTCGTCCTATTGTGGGACTCCGCAACAGTGCGCATCCACGACCCCGCCTCGTGGGATGCGAACTCAGGACCTATCAATCTCGCACCAGGCGCTTAACCAACTAGACGGTGTTAATATGGGTGCGCACTGCTGAGGAGTCCCACAATAGGACGAAACGGTCGCCTAGTGCTTCCAGGTTTTCCATGGTTGTCTAGCTTCAATTGACTCATGATCTGAACTGTTGAAATTACTACAATCTCCACGAAGCCCCTTCTGAATTATATCTGTCATTATAAACTACAGGGTTTAAATATAGAAGCAAATCACTTTTATTACATACCTTTGTGATAACACAGAAAAATGAATATTTAAAACAGGAAACTTGTTATGATTCAAGGAGAAAGGGTTTAAAAAAACACACTGATGATGTGATGTGTGCTATTGATGTTGACAGATATAAGTAGTATGTAATATCAATCGAAAGTGCAATACTTGAAAGTAGAAGTTTAAGAAGATCAAAGAGAAGCGAATAGAACGATAACAGAGAAGGATTAGTGTGGAAACGAAAAAACAATGAAGTCTCAGACAATTGATGGATATTTTACAAATGAAGTATTTACTGTATGGTTCTCTGATGTTACTAAGATATTCGATTGTGCCCACTTGTGTTTTCGTTCACTACAATCGTATAGAAGATTTCATCTACTGTCTAAAAACAAGTATGTATGATCGAATTAAGAGAAATGCGAAACCGGATTTTCCATAAAATTAATACGAACACATACTACATGTTATAGTGATTGTAATACACGCTAATAAATAGTTTTATACTGAACTAATGTCATGTTGAAATCATACTTATTCAAAGAACAACAGGGTGATCTCACTTTCTTTTCCTATCCTAACCACCTTTAATTTCCAGGGATGTCCTACTTATTGCCTTCTCGTGGCGAAGGTACTGTTTAGGAGATTGAGAGAACGAAAATCTATTAACCGGCTCTTTAACCGGGTTGATGAACACGGGAAATCCACCTAAGGGAGTTGGAAAACCCAATTATGTACGTGGTCTCCGGGATCATAAGAGAACAAACGGCATATGAACCAATAGTTGGTCACTGGTTACTATGGGACTGCATCACCTAAAGTTGCTCCACTGTTTCGAGAATTAGTCCTTCAAGTCAAAAGTTCCGTGTGTGACCTTCTAAGATAAACCACCTGCTTCAGTCTGGGCACCCGAATAGTATCCCAGCCCTTAAACAAACCGAATGATTTGTGTGGGGCATGTATATTTGGTGTCTCTTTGTACTAATGTTTGTATTTCGAACATGAAATTATGCACATCTAGTTCTTTAAATGATCAGGGAATTACATACTTCCATAAATTACATCAAAGATTGATGTATCTTTAAACAATCTCTGAGAATGAATGAAAGTCTAGATTGTTATTTCCTTTCAGCATTGTATTATTTATTGATCCTTAATCATGATTGCGACAGTGACTAAAATTTCAATTAAATTTCAAGTGATTTGAGTAGTCAGACAGGAGATTAGCTTTTACCCTCTATAATATGTATATAAAATATAAAATATTCATTCCGGTATTACTACAGTGAGAAATATTAGGACTATCAGATTATTCAGAGTAAACTATTCATCAAATCGAAAGACGTTACTTACTTACTTACTTACTTACTTACTTACTTACTTACTTACTTACTTACTTACTTACTTACTTACTTACTTACTTACTTACTTACTTACTTACTTACTTACTTACTTACTTACTTACTTACTTACTTACTTACTTACTTACTTACTTACTTACTTACTTACTTACTTACTTACTTACTTACTTACTTACTTACTTACTTACTTACTTACTTACTTACTTACTTACTTACTTACTTACTTACTTACTTACTTACTTACTTACTTACTTACTTACTTACTTACTTACTTACTTACTTACTTACTTACTTACTTACTTACTTACTTACTTACTTACTTACTTACTTACTTACTTACTTACTTACTTACTTACTTACTTACTTACTTACTTACTTACTTACTTACTTACTTACTTACTTACTTACTTACTTACTTACTTACTTACTTACTTACTTACTTACTTACTTACTTACTTACTTACTTACTTACTTACTTACTTACTTACTTACTTACTTACTTACTTACTTACTTACTTACTTACTTACTTACTTACTTACTTACTTACTTACTTACTTACTTATACCTGTTATTCTTCATATAGGTGAATAAGTCTGACACCAGCATTTTCAATCCATCTCTGTCCTAGGATGTACACACTTAAGATTTACATATTTTGAAAAACAATTCGTATTTTGTAGGTAACTTCTTCATATTTTCACTATTCATCAATTTACTGACTAATTCATGAAAAAGAGTAAGCCATGAGATTTTCTTAAAGGATTTGACTGAGATACTAATATTAATATAATGTGACATATTGAAAGCTGAAGACTGTCATCAGTTTAATCCGAATTCATTGAATTTTTGCATAGTTAATCAAGTTAACATACAACTATATCAGTTTCCTTGTCATTCTTGAAACAAAAGAGTTGATTTACTTACTTGTTTAGTTAATTTGAAGCAGAAATAACAGTGATCAGAAAGCATTAAACGATATAATTATCGTGGATGTGAACGGCTGAAGAATCTCATACTAGAACGAAACGGTCATCCAGTACTTCTAAGTTTTCAATGGTGGTCTAACATCAATCGATTCATGATCTCAACTAAAAACTTAACAATCTTCACAACCCTATACTGATAATTACTATGTGTTGACTAGCGACTAGCTTCGTGATGTAATTCTCGGCAATCTAGTAAGAAGCCAGTGGAGCTAATTCGTTGCAGGTAGGGACAGGTATCTACCTCAGATAATGAAAGATGATTGCGCAATTACATGGATTGCTTGAAGTTATACATCAACACCATTGGATGTCGATTCATTGATATAAAAGTTAAGTGTTCGCGCGCGAAATTGAGGGTCCTGGGTTCGAACCCCTTTGGAGTGGGATCAAGGATGCACACTGCTGAACAGTCCTATATTAAAACGAAACGGTAGTCCAGTACCTCTAGGTTATTAATAATGGTTTAACATAGATCGATCCATGATCTCAAACAAAAGCTTACAATCTCCACAACCCTATATTGATAAATAATTATCTGTTTAGTCGAATTTTATATGTTCTAGTGTTTACAAAGCCATGTCACTTTGTTATTGTCAAGTTGCAGACATTTAATACAGCGATGAAAATTCTATAAAACATATTTATTTCCTTGTTTTAACAGTGGTTTTGTTTTAAATTTATTACACTTAAAACAATTTGTGGTTCTACTGTATGGGGTGGAATCTTGGAGAACCACTAAAGCCATCATCCAGAACATACAAGTGTTTATTAACAATTGTCTACGCAAAATACTTCGGATCCGTTGGCCGGACACTATTAGCAACAACGTACTGTGGGAGAGAACAAACCAGATCCCAGTGGAGGAAGAAATCAGGAAGAAGCGCTGGAAGTGGATAGGACACACATTGAGGAAAGCACCCAACTGTGTCACAAGACAAGCCCTCACATGGAATCCTGAAGGTCAAAGGAAAAGAGGAAGACCAAAGAACACATTACGCCGAGAAATGGAGATAGACATGAGAAAAATGAACAAGAATTGGATGGAACTAGAAAAGAAGGCCCAGGATAGAGTGGGTTGGAGAATGCTGGTCAGCGGCCTATGCTCCATTGGGAGTAACAGGCGTAAGTAAGTAAGTAAGTAAGTAATTGTTTACATGAATTTCCTCATTGATATTTAGAACTGCAATTGATCAGACTCTTATTGACATATGTGCATCCTGTGCGAACTGTCTCGATATTGCCTTAATTCACAAGAATTCTAAGCAATTATAGATAGTCGCTTGCAGTGGAATCTAGGACTCATATTTCGTCCAATTTGGGACTCGTCAGCTAGATGTACCTGCACCTCAGAGTTGGTGTTCACTTTGAAACTCGAACCGAATACTGTTTGCTTCAAACACCATCGTGTTATCCACCTACCTACTGAGTCCTGGAGAGCCACTTGCTTGTACAATGGAGTGAAGTTTAAATTCACTTGGTTTTCGCTTAAATGAATCTTTCCATTGATGCTAACGACTGCAATTGATCATTTTCTTATTGACATATGTACATCTTGTACAGATTACATCAATACTGCCGTAATTCACAAGCAATCCAAGACGAGCGCTTCATCCTGCTAGCGACTATCCATCTTTACTTATTTCCTAGATAATTTTAAAATCATAAAACTTATCTGAGTTATAGTTAATCATCACAGATTGAAATCATGAGTCAGTTGAAGCTAGACCACCATTGAAAACCTGGAAGCACTGGACGGTTAGTTGATATGAAATAGTGTAAACTGATTATGTAAATGATCTATTGATGATGTAATTGATGAACCTTTGCTAATTTATGAGGATCAAAAAATAGATCGATTGTATATGATCCCAAATTATGTAACATGTAATGTACTATAGATACTAGTCATTTACCAAAATGCATTACAATTTATAAACTGGATTACATCATTGACATTGAAATTTCCACTATTAAATAGGTAGATAACAACCTTTGTAAACAGTGTATCCTTTTCTTACGAGGGTAGATAAAGCTCTCTTGAAGTAATCTAACCAAGTCTTTTCAGTATTAAGTTAAATTTAATAATCATTCTTTAAATGTATGGTCGTGGAGCTTTCATCGTTCTTCTGAACGACATCACCAGCATAAACTTCAAGTAGAAGTGAAATGTTCAAAATCACTCACAACTTGTCCTGT